TCATGGACAGTAGTCAGGCTTTTCTTTTAAGTTAAGAATCTGGCTGCTAATAGAAGTCAGATGGTGTATTTTAACATTTTAATTCTTCATTTTACTCTTAAAGTTATGAAAACATACTGCTAAGATGAGCTTTCAATTTTTTTCTTTGTAGATAATGATGCTTGAACAATTAATATAAAATTTATGACCTATGTAATATGCTTTTCTTATTCAGATTTTCTTCTTTTTTCTTTTCTTTTTTTTTAAGACAGAGTCTTACTCTGTCATTCAGGCTAGAGTGCGGTGGTGACATCTTGGGTCACTGCAACCTCTGCCTCTCGGGTTCAGGTGATTCTCACGCCTCAGCCTCCCGAGTAGCTGGGATTACAGGCATGCACTGCCACGCCCAGCTAACTTTTGTATTTTTAGTAGAGATGGGGTCTCACCATGTTGGCCAGGTTGGTCTCTAACTCCTGACCTCAAGTGATCTGCCTGCCTCGACCTCCCAGAGTGCTAGGATTACAGGCATGAGCCTCTGTGCCTGGCCTCTTACTCAGATTTCTTTATAGAATTTAGCAGAATTACTAATGTTTTAACCTTGGTGAAAGTTGTTTGCCTTCAGACAGTCTTTCAAACTGAAGTATAAGAGACTTCACATTACCTTTTTAGGCAAGTTTTGAAAATAACATAGTAGGATCCCTTTATTTATTTAACTTATACTAAAGAAATTTCAAAGAATTTTACTGTTTTTAAAGAAAAAATAATGTTTTTAATGTCCATAAGCTGATTGTAGTTGTATTAATGTATAGGTCGAATGAAACTGGCTTTTCTTAGATGTCATTGGTAAATAAGATGGTGCGTGTTTGTATATAACTCTGTAGTTAGGATCAGAGAGATATTCATGTAGAAATTAACTATTTTAGCAAATACCAATATATTCCCAAATAGGGATATCTGATAGGCCCCAAACTGTAGTTGGGAAATGTAAAAAGTTGTACCGTATACTCTGTTTCCTGGTGGGTCTAGCATACTCCAAATTCATTTGGTCAGAATGAGACAAACTAGGAAGTCCCACATTATTATGAAAAAAAGAAAAGAACTATTAAAGTGTCTTGATAAAATTATAAGTTACAACTTTCAAGGAATTTCTAAAACTTAATTTAGTAGATGTATGCAACCAGTAGTCTGGGTGGGGTTTGTTAGATTGCATGATCTGGTTTATAATTTGATACACAGATGCTAAAAATTCAGTGATGTACAGTAAAACTTTGTATTTGCTAAGGCTGTTAGATCAGTAGAGACTTGTTAAAATACTGGAATAAATGATGTCTGTTGCAGTCTCATAACACAACATGGAAATTGCGTGAAACAAATGACACTGGGAGAGCTGCTAGAGCAGGGTTCCCAGTGGAGGTGATGACCCTGTTGAGCAGTTCTGAAGGTGCAGTGGTTCATTGGGGTGTTATCAGCAAGGAGTGGCATATGCCAGGGCAGAGGCAAGAGTGTGTGAGGTGTGCTGAGGGAGTGGAATTGAATTTCAGTTCCATGTTATGGTGCATTCAGAATGACTGAAGCAGAGACTATGAGGGGGAGGTGGCTAGAGTGAGGCTGGCCAAGAGCAGGGGCCAGGTGTCTTGCCTTAGAAGTTGGACTTGGTCCTAGATCTCTGGGAAATAACCCATTGAAGAATTTTGAGGAGACATTACATAGACACTTCCCCTATGTCAAAATAGTTGGTTTGCTTTTATGGTTTTCAGTCTTTTCTCTTTAAGGTGAAGTTGTTGAAACAAGATGCCAAAGAATTAAAGCAGCCAATTTAGCATGTTGTTACCTATGTCAGGAAAGTAAGGGGCTTGGGACTGTTTGTTTCCTCTTTAACATTCATTTAGTCTGGATGTCGAGTAGAGCAATACATATGAAATTGAAAAAGTCTCTCAAAAGGTATGCACCTTAACTGGCACATACTTGTCTTGGACAATTTAAATTGTATTAATTATAGTAGTAATTACTGAAGTAGTGATTTGTTTTGTTTTTTGAGACGGAGTCTTGCTGTCACCCAAGCTGAAGTGCAGCAGCACAATCTCAGCTCACTGCATTCTCCACCTCCCAGGTTCGAGAGATTCTCCTGCTTCAGCCTCCCGATTATCTGGGACTACAGGTGCACACCACCATGTCCAGCTAATTTTTTTTTTTTTTTTTTTTTGGTTTTTAGTAGAGACAGGGTTTCACCATGTTGGCCAGGCTGGTCTTTAAACTCCTGACCTCAAGTGACCTGACCGCCTCAGCCTCCCAAAGTGCTCGGATTACAGGCGTGAGCCACTGCACCTGGCCTGTAGTAATTTGAAAGAACCAGTAAGAGGTAGGGACTAGGGTATATCCCGTCATTTTTTAATAATATTTTCCCATTCACTTGATTTCTCACTATACAAGCTGCTACAATGTTTTATCAGAACAGTGGTGTGTGTAGTTAGAAATGCAGAATTCCAGGCCAGGCATGGTGGCTCACATCTGTAATCCTAGCACTTTGGGAGGCTGAGGCAGGTGGATCACAAGGTCAAGAGATTGAGACCATCCTGGCCAACATGGTGAAACCCCATCTCTACTAAAAATACAAATATTAGCGGGCGTGGTGGTGCGTGCCTGTAGTCCTAGCTACTTGGGAGACTGAGGCAGGAGAATTGCTTAAACCGGGGAGGTGGAGGTTGCAGTGAACTGAGATTGCGCCATTGCAGTCCAGCCTGGTGACAGAGTGAGACTCCATCTCAAAAAAAAGGAAAAAAAAAGCAGAATTCCTACATGTTACCAGAAGTGTTCAATTACACTGTAGTGGCTCACGTTGCTTGTAACCAGGAGACAGCCAAATAATGTTTACTCCAGTGATTTTACAAATTCATCCTTGTCAGTGTAACAATTATGGTTCATGTCTTTACTGCCTTCCCATTGAGGGATTCATAATACCTACTTTCCTATTAAGGTTAATAACTAAATTTGCTCTAGAGCTGTTCTCTTCAGCACAGCAATTGGCTCATTAAATGTGGCTATTTAGTTAAAATTGAATAAAATTTAAAATGCAGTTTTTCCCTTCCTTCAGCCACATGTCAAGTGTTCAACAGTCATATGCAGCTAAGTGGCTGCTATATTGGACATTTCCAGTGTTGCGTAAAATTCTCTTGGACAATGCTGCTCTAATGGTTGTCTTCTTATATACATTTTAGTATACTTAAAAGCCATTTAATGCCAAAGTATTTACAGATTAAATGATATAATCTGATTTGAAATAACTGGGGAGAAGGGAGAATTGGAGGGGTTATGGAGGAAACAAGATTTGCCTTAAGTTGATGATTGGTGAAGCTGGGTTTAGAGTTCATGGGAGCTCACTATATTATATTCATTATATAGAAATTTTGTATATGTTTTAAATTTTCCACAATAAAAATGTAAACCGAAGGTTTAACCAGGAACTGTGCTCCCACCAGCATCTAGAAGTAGATGTCTGTCAACAGGCATCTGAAATCTCACCCCCACAGGCTGGCTCTAGTAGTGTAGGAAAGTTTTTAATCCTGCCACAGGACTTCTAAAGAACACATATAGTACCACATTTTCATTTATGGTTTATTTCATTCCACCTCAAAACACACAAGTAGTGGCACAGTCTAATGTTTGTCAAGTGTTTGAACTGCACAAGTGAATCTTGTGGTTAGAATGTGCTAGATTATATTAAAGTAAAACTTCCATTGCTGCTGACATTAATTTGAGCAAATTAAAAATAGTGTTCTTAATGAAGAGAATAAAGTCTCTTTACTCAGTGGTTGGTTTATATTTTATTTCACAGCCAGATAAGTCAGCTTCTGTCTCTGGCTTTCCTGGTTAACAGCACCTGTGTCTGAAAAGAGAAAGGTCAGGGGTGGAGGGAATAGTAGATAAAGTCCCTGGCACGAGAGAGGCCATCAGTGAACACCATCACTGTGCGCTGAAGGGCTGTTTGAAGTTATTGAAAGTTATTGAAAGAAACGTGGGCCTGAAATGGTGGCTCACACCTGCAGTCCCAACACTTTAGGAGGCCAAGACAGGTGGATTGCTTGAGCCCAGAGTTTGAAGCCAGCCTGGGCAACATGTTGAGACCCTGTCTCTACAAAAAGTAGGAAAATTAGCAAAGCATGCTGGTGTGCACCTCTGGTTCCAGCTACTTGAGAGGCTGAGGTGGGAGGATTGTTTGAGCCTGGGAGTTCAAGGCTTCAGTAAGCTAGGATGGCCCCACTGCACTCCAACCTGGGCAACAGCGAGATCCTGTCTCCAAAAAAAAAAAAGGGCTGGGTGCGGTGGCTCACGCCTATAATCCCAGCACTTTGGGAGGCCGAGGCGGGTGGATCACAAGGTCAAGAGATCGAGACCATCCTGCTCAACAAGGTGAGACCCCGTCTCTACTGAAGATACAAAAATTAGCTGGGCACGGTGGTGCGTGCCTGTAGTCCCAGCTACTCGGGAGGCTGAGGCAGGAGAATTGCCTGAACCCAGGAGGCGGAGGTTGTGGTGAGCCGAGATCGCGCCATTGCACTCCAGCCTGGGTAACAAGAGCAAAACTCCATCTCAAAAAAAAAAAAAAAAAAATAGAAGAAGAATAAAAGAAAACAAAACAAAAGAAGCATGTGAACTTGCAAACTTTGGTCTCCTACACATCTCTAACAAATGGTGATGGGGCTTGTTATGAGCAGACAGGGGCATATCACAGAGGAACGGTTCAGAGAAAGGGCTTTTAGGGTCAGACTTGGGCTTGATTGCCAGCTTCATAGTTAGCTGTGACCTGAGAAAGGGGACTAGTGAGCTCTTCCCAGCTGCTTTAGAGAATAATGGTAGAATAGTGGCCCACACATGGCTAAGTGTGTATGACTAATATAATAAGACAAGAAGTCTTATTATATTAGGTATTCCCTAGCTATATGTTTTATTTCAGTTAAATGCTGATATCATGTAGAATAATGTGTAGGTATAAAGGAATGTAATGGTGCCTTTTTATTTTACAGGGTTCTTGAAGCTCTTGTGATTAACAATGGCAGGAAAATCATCACTTTTTAAAGTAATTCTCCTTGGAGATGGTGGAGTTGGGAAGAGTTCACTTATGAACAGATATGTAACTAATAAGTTTGACACCCAGCTCTTCCATACAATAGGTGTGGAATTTTTAAATAAAGATTTGGAAGTGGATGGACATTTTGTTACTATGCAGATTTGGGACACGGCAGGTCAGGAGCGATTCCGAAGCCTGAGGACACCATTTTACAGAGGTTCTGACTGCTGCCTGCTTACTTTTAGTGTCGACGATTCACAAAGCTTCCAGAACTTAAGTAACTGGAAGAAAGAATTCATATATTATGCAGATGTGAAAGAGCCTGAGAGCTTTCCTTTTGTGATTCTGGGTAACAAGATTGACATAAGCGAACGGCAGGTGTCTACAGAAGAAGCCCAAGCTTGGTGCAGGGACAACGGCGACTATCCTTACTTCGAAACAAGTGCAAAAGATGCCACAAACGTGGCAGCAGCCTTTGAGGAAGCGGTTCGAAGAGTTCTTGCTACCGAGGATAGGTCAGATCACTTGATTCAGACAGACACAGTCAACCTTCACCGAAAGCCCAAGCCTAGCTCATCTTGCTGTTGATTGTTAGATTGTTGATGCATTCTAATCAACTCACACATATACACAAAATCAACATGGGGATGGAGAAGAGAATTAGCGTTTGCAGCAGTGTATCATCTAATAAAATTAAACTAAAGTATATTGCTGCTTCATTAGTTGGTGGGAGAAGGGACACATCTACCCATGGAGGAATATATTTACTCAGTAATGGCACCTTCCATTTATGAATTGTAACGGTTGTCTAATAACGTTTCTTTAAATATGTAAGTTGCAGAGCTAATAAATGAGATGGCCAAGACTTTAATGATAATTAAAATAAGAAACTTGACTATTCTAGAAGTTATACTTGGATTTTTTTTCCTGGGAAAATGGAGAACTACTTTTATATGTGTATGTTTTTATGCAATTAGCATTGTATTCTTGGTTCAGAGAAATAATTTCCTAAAGCAATAATGTTAGATATTAAAGATTAAAATCTAATGTATTTGCGATACATTGTTAATTTACTTCTTCATTCCCTTCAAAATGATTTAACCATTTCTATTTTCATTCTACGTATTAGAATTACTCTCACTAGTAATTACTTGTCATTTGTGTGCCATTCATGTGTCCCTACCCCCATAAATCTTGTTCCACAGTCTCAGGTGGAGGGCAGGCCTCCAGTGGTACAAGAGTTCCTTCATACAGTCCATCGTACATCCAGCTAGATTCATACTGTCTGAATGGAAAGCTTTCCATAGAGAAGAGTTCAGTTTTAAGAAAAAGGCTAACTACTGAACTTGAAGAACAGACAAATGTGCATTTGATAATTGATCTAACAATTACAATGTACTGTGTGGAAGATACAAAATTAGTTTGTTAATGGACTACTTAATACTTTTGTTACTTTCTTTACTCTTAGGAAAAGGCTCCTAGTTGAAGTTAAAACATTCCTTTTTAACAGAAGACACAGCTAACTTTATCACTCTCAGAGGAAATACTAAAAAGGCTTGTACTTTGTGAGAGTAAATGAAGACATCTTTATTTGGCCATGTATTTACTTAGTGTCATCTCTATCATTGAACGTTGTTTAGTGATTTGCTCTCAAGGAGATTTTTTGTTCCAAAAAGACTTGCTGTAGTGATCAGACTTGATAAAGCAAATTGTGGTCTTTTGTGGATGAAGTTCATATACTGTGTGGTTGATGAGTGTCTGATTCTGTGAAGCCTAACCAAAGCCTAGACTGAGTGTGGATGAGGCCCTCAACTGGGGACTCTTGGGGTCATCAAAGGACATGCTGGGTGAGGGGAGCTGGCTGTCATGTAGTGAGGGGGCTTTGAAAAATTAGATTGATATATTTCCCTCCCTGACCCCACCCATTGGAAACCAATGAGAAAACACTCTAGTAAGCTAAGCTTTTGAGTCTAATGTCCTAACCTAAGGGACGATTTTGCCATTTGGTAGCATTCTACAGAAAATAATAGAAGATAGTTGGAGAACAAAGCAGGTGTTAAGTGTGGCAACAGGAGTGTGGTGAGAAGCAGCTGCAGAGCCTACTGGACAGAAGAACCATAGATCAGTCTGGGGGTGGGGGTGGGGGTGCGGGTTCCCGTGCTTTAGGAGTTGCTCCATATGGTCTGTCATAGATCCAGCTAGGTTCAAGCTATGAATGGAAAGGCTTTTGAGAGGTAGGTTTTTTTTTTTGTTTTTGAGGTAGAGTCTCGGTCTGTTCCCCAGGCTGGAGTGCAGTGGCACAATCTCGGCTCACTGCAACCTCTGTCTCCCAGGTTCAAGCAATTCTCCTGCCTCAGACTTCCCAAGTAGCTGGGACTACAGGTGCATGCTGCCATGCCCGACTAATGTTTTGTATTTTAGTGAAGATGGAATTTTACTGTGTTGCCCAGGCTAGTCGAGAACTCCTCCTGAGCCACTAGCCCCAGTCCAGTTTTTTTTTTTTGAGATGGAGTCTCACTCTGTCACCCAGGCTGGAGTGCAGTGGCATGATCTCGGCTCACTGCAATCTCTGCCTCCTGGGTTCAAGTGATTCTCCTGCTTCAGCCTCCCAAGTAGCTGGGATTACAGGCGCCCGCCACCACGCCCGGCTAATTTTTTATATTTTTGGTAGAGACGGGGTTTCACCATGTTGGCCAACCTGGTCTCGAACTCGTGACCACAAGAAATCTGCCATGGCCTCCCGAAGTGCTGGATTACAGGCGTAAAGCCACCATCTCTGGCCAGAGATACAGTACAGTTTTAAGAAAAAAGGTAAACTACTGAACTTGGAGAAGAAAATGTGCACTAGATAACTGATGTAACAATTACAGTGTGCTGTGTGGAGGATACAAAATTACAATTCCATTAATGGACGACATGTTTTTGTTACTTTTCACCCTTGGAGATAGTTTCCTAGTTGAAGTTAAAAAAATTCCTACTGTTCCTTGTCTTAGAGGAAAACCTTTTTTTATTTCTGTACAAACTTAAGTTTCGCTTTAATATAACACCACCATGTAAGTTCTCTCACAATATCCATGTCTTGTAGAGTCATAAAGTGTTAAGTATAAAAACACACGAGTGTGGTACCCAGTGAAAGGTGGTGTCTGGAGAGTCTGGTTTCTGAACTCTGGACTGTCAACCAGGAAGTGTTGAAGTTACTGAAAAGTTAAAGAGCACGGGTAACAGCATGGGCAGAGCAGAGATTGAGGCGATCTATGTCCATGACAAAGGAAGCACCCTAGGAAGCTTCCAGCTATAGCAAGAGGACAAAACTCAGTGTACATTTTTATCTGGATCACTTTTGGAGCACTAAAGCAGAACCAACTTTATGTTAGCATACATGTGCTCAGGAGAGCCTGATTTTAAGACTGACTTCACCCCACTGCTCGTGTTCCAGAACCGTCAAGGGACACACCTACTAGATTCAAGCATTGCCAGCTTAGCTTTCCTCATGATCGGCTCCTCTCTGTCAGCTGTCAGTTCTACCCACATGCCCCAGTGCTGTTCTCCACACCTTCACGCCTGCAGTGCTTTCCTGTGCAGCCTACCTTGGAGGTACCCCTCAATGCTCCACTTCCCTTCCAGCTCCTTCAAAGACTCCATCACACATGAAATTTGGCATTTTTGTAATATACTCACAGGAAGTATGTTGAGTGTATTACTACCTCACCTTCACCAGCCTGGAGAAAAGGCTATTTTCAGGCTGTTGTGCAGCTGAGCCAAGTCTTCCCGCTGTCACTCACCCTGCTGCTCTTGGCTGGCTATCATCACAGCCTTCTGGATGATATTTTCATTGGGGGGGGGGGGCGGCAACCGTATACAAAAAAATATGGGTTTGCTGAAATTACTCCTAGATTTCTAGATGAGTATGTAGCCTTTTCTACTCCCAAAGCTCTGGCATCTAGTTTGAGTCAATCTGAGCTCTGTATAACAGGTGAAGATATATTAGTTTGCAGACTATCAATACGGGAAATAGGGTGAAAACAGTTGTGGTGGGCGGCACTTTAAAAATGGATATTAAACGACCACAGTCTTGAACAAACATCTTTATTTAAGAAATCAAATAAATAGGGTAAAGATGATGGTAGCAATTTCACAAGGATACAAGATAAAGCTTAGAATTGCTCAAAAGTTAGTCAGAATGGAACAAAATTGTTCATGTGCTCCCAATTAGCAAAGGTTGTATTACTTGCTTTTCAATGGACATTTACTATTTTACAGTAAGATCTACTTATAGGAACAAAGAGACCATTCCCAGCCCTCTGGTGTATCACCTAAAAGGCTGAGATAAATGTTAATGTAATCCAAGCTTTTCTTTGACAACAATCCTAAAAACTGCCTTACAACTTTTTATAAGTACTGCTATCAACAGTTTGAGGGAAAGGAAATACAAGAATATAAAGTGACAGAAACAACGAACTTCACTGTGGCCTGCAACTGCTCCCATCCTCTTACTCCACAAACATGGATCCAGGTTCTCACATTATAGCAGGATCACTATTCCTAGCCTCTGGCAGAAGCAGACATGTGACATTTAGCACTGCACAAGTGTTTCTTTGGCTTCTTGAGTAGTGCTGTGTATTCTGCCTATACATTTTTATAACATCTCTAAATGTATAAATAAATTAACATTTATTATGTGCTATCACATTTCATTCCCAACTGCAGAATATTTTAGTTTTAAATATTTAGTTTCAATCTATCTACCAAATCTTGACTATGACATTTGTTTTGAGATTGTTACATTAAGATCAACCTATCTGGGCTGGGTATGGTGGCTGACACCGGTAATCCCAGCACTTTGGGAGGCTGAGGCAGGAGAATCGCTTGGAGTCGGGAGGCGGAGGTTGCAAAGGGCACACTGCCTTTGCACTCCAGCATGGGCAACAGAGCGAAACTCCATTTCAAAAAAGCAAAAGAGCAACCTATCTGAATTGGGCAAGTCAAAAGCTTATTCCCAATTTTTAAATAAAAATACTTATTTTTGATAATGAGCTCTTTATAAATAACACTGTTCACAAGGAAATACCAACTGATATGTGACATGAGACGGAAAGTACGATTTTTAAATATAAAAGGAATTTCTAGGTTTAGATAAGCTGAGACTACACAAAGTTTTCCAGGCTATTTAATCAAGTAACTTACAATGTACACATTCCTGAGTTTACACCATTGTGGTGACATCGTTTGTTTCAGAATTTCCTGCATTTAGCTTAAAAGGTGCTTCTTCCCAAGAAACTGCACTTTTCTGTCAAATGCACTTGATCGAATAGGAGAATTGGGTTCATAAAATGGATTCATTGAAAACTAGGAAAGAAGAAAGTATTAGTCAAGCAAAAAAGCTGACAAACCATAGGTCTCTGGAAGGAAATCATTCTAAAGTTTTAAATTAAAAACCATCAAAGACATTCAAAAGTCTAAAGACCACATTTTGAAGTTTCATTGAAAATGCTGCATTGTTAAATACTAACATCCTCTTAAGGAAATTTTTATTTTGGTGTTTCGGTTTTGAGAAGCACCTGTGGCAAAACTAATAGCAGTATGATAAATGTTGCTTGTGTAAGTTAACGTTCAGGATTTACCCTGTGTGTGAAATACTCATATTCATTATAAATAAATGGATTAATCTGTATGGCCCTTTGGCTACATAAAGCAAAAAAGTCTGCCATGAGCTCAGAATTCAGAAAAAGCTACTCTTGTGTGGTAATCTTTTAACATCAGGTTTTTAATACTCTCCTTTAATACAAAGCTGCTAAATGATCAGCTTCTCAACCAAAGTAATCATTGTATCATAACATGGGAGAGAAAATGATTAAATGGAATCGCTAATGAGGAAAGGCATTGCTGATTTTTATACCTTAATCACTTGACACTGTTCATCTTTATAAGAGGGCTAAATATTACTTACTATCTCTGACTAGGCATATTGTTAAATTTTATTACTGTGCTGACATGTAAGAAATCCTATCCAAATATAGAACTTTTAAATTATTAAAAACATACTTGCTGGGCATGGTGGCTCACTCATGTAATCCCAGCACTTTTGGAGGCTGAGGTGGGCGGATCACTTGAGGTCAGGAGTTTGAGACCTGCCTGGCCAACATGGTGAAACCCTGTCTCTACTAAAAATACAAAAATTAGCTGGGTGTAGTGGCGCACACCTGTAGTCCCAGCTACTTGGGAGGCTGAGGCAGGAGAATGGCTTGAACCTGGGAGGCAGAGGTTGCAGTAAGCCGAGATCATGCCACAGCACTCCAGCCTGGGTGACAGAGCAAGACTGTCTCCAAAACAAAACAAAACAACATACTGTTGTTAGTACTGCAGTGTAACCGTGACATCCTATCACTATCTTATTTTTCAAGATCAAGAAATGCAAGTGGTACCATTCTTGAGTGGCCAATTGATCATATAAAAATCACTTCCTGCCAGTTTCTAATCTCTATTAATTGCACTGTAACTTATTTGTAAAGTAGATGGGAACATTTTAGATTAAATTATGAAGAAATTTTCCCTTATATAGGCTGCTTCCTTGCTCTCTTTAGGGATCCCTAATAAAATCAGCTATGAGCACCAAAAGGTGAACAATGAAACCAATTTACCTTCACAGTCCTCTAATGATAACTATCATGAGTTATGTTCCTAACTACATATTCACCTGGCTGTGAAGACTTACCTGCAGAGGGAATTGCCAGAGAGTTCTAATGGGGGAAAGCTAGTCTGAAAGGTAAACTGCAGCCTAAGCGAGTTACTGCAGTAGGCCAGTTTCCTGACAAATGCTGAATCCTTTATCATCAGATTTAAATTATAGAACATACCATACCTTTATATATAAATCATAAACATCAGTAAAGAAGTTCTTTATTCCATCTTCTTGTCTTATGTCATGAAGCATAATAAATCTCATATGTGAAATAATTAAGGCATAATCTTTCTTAGAAATGAAAAACAAAAAGCAACCAGTTCATTGATACAATATTCTTCAAATCAGTCACATGCAGTATATTTGTGATGGAAAAGTTTAATACATAAACTGGGTTTAAAATTAGCTTAGTTTTATCATAAAGCGAACATAGGTTCTCAGTTAGAAAATTAACTGTAACATAAAGTAAAATCACCCTTTATGGTTCAGATAAACTTTTTTTGTGCATGAGACTTAGTTTTAAAATTCGCTGTTAAACAAAATGTTTTCCCCCACTAAGAAAAGAAAAGTAGCCCCATAAATGGAAACGTTTACATTTTCACCTGACTGTGAAGTCTGCAGACTCAGAGCCTGGCATCTGTCCATGTTGTTCTAGTTTGAGCCCAAACTTTAGTTATCTTTACTAAAAATGTAAGGATATGCCCCGCAGTGACAAATGCTGACACAAACCACTCGTTGAACTTGTCCACCGTTTTCAAGTACATGTTGTTCGACAGCCACATGTTCTCATCTACCAGGTCGAGAGCAGCATGAGCTATGAACTGGTTCAGATGACGATGGTCGTCCTAGATGACAGTGTGAGCAACCACAGATTAACATTTCCATATGGCATTAAGAATGCTGACATTTCATTCTGTAAATTCTATAGATGGTTTTCTTGTGGAGAGAAAACAGTTTGCTTTTACTTTGTTCATTATTGTCATGAAACTTATAAAAGATGTGTTTTCATATTCTATTTTTAAATTTGATACCTAAATCTCAAAGAACAGAAACAGCCAATTAATAAATGAAATGTGTATATAGATGATTTATAGAAAATCATTTAATGAAAATCTTTTCCAGATAAATTTTTTTTTCATGTTTCAAGAAGGATGTTACCAAATTCTGTAACCATTTAAACATTTTTTTAAAAAAAGGATACTATGTTTAAAAAACAAGATCCTGTGAAGAAGAGGTGCTATTCACACCAGGCCTCAAGGTCTGGGAGGAAGCTGAGAGGGCCTGGCTTCCTGCACAGCAGCACCAGGTAAGCAGTAGAGACAGTTGCAATAGCACTTGTAACAGCCTGCCAGAGGCCTCTTTCCAGTGCATGGAGCTTACATGGCAGTGGGACCTGGGAGTAGTGGGAGGTGATGCTCAGCCCCAGCTGTGAGCAATTCTGTGTCAACAGCAGGACACAGTCCTATCAGGGCTGGGAGTGTCCTTTTCCTGGGCTGAAATGGCTTAAGTGAACAGAAGGTGGGACTGTCTGACTATAATGCCAAGAGGGAATTTACAACTTGGAATGCAGTCTTACTCCAATGTAATTGTTTCTTTGAATATACATTTTTTGGCCAGGCATGGTGGCTCACACCTGTAATCCTAGCAATTTGGGAGGCCAAGGTGGGCGGATCACCTGAGGTCAGGGGTTTAAGACCGGCCTGGCCAATATGGTGAAACCCATTTTTTTTTGTTTTGTTTTTTGGTGAAACCCCATATTGGCCAGGCTGGTCTCAAAAAATACAAAATTAGCTGGGTGTGATGGCAGATGCCTGTAATCCCAGCTACTCAGAAGGCTGAGGCAGGAGAATTGCTTGAACCTGGGAGTCAGAGGTTGCAGGAACTGAGATCACGCCTTTGCACTCCAGACTGGGGGACGAGAGCAAAACTCTCTCAAAAACAAAAACATATTTTTCAGAGAATACCTCTGTTATGGGTTGAAGCATTTACTTTCCATAGTAATTTTGGAATCTTTCCTCCCCAAAATTTGAAGTCCAAAGTGACACTACCTCAGAATGTGGCCTTATTTGGAAAGAGGGTTGTTGCAGATGCAGTTAGCTAAGATGAGGTCACAGAGGAATAGGGTGGGCCCCTAATCCAACAGACTGGGGTATTTAGAAAAAGGGAACATTTAGAGATACACACAGGGAGAAAAATGCCGCATGAAGACTGGAGTTACGCTGTCACAAGCTAAGGAATTCCTGGTAGAGAGGCCTGGACAGATCCTTGCCTTGGTGCCTTCATAGGGAGCATGGCCCCACTGACACCTTGATTTCAGACAGTGGCCCTCAGAACTGAGACAATAAATTTGCTGTCCTAAGCCACTCAGTTTTTGTTACTTTGTTACAACAGTCACAGGAAACCGAGACGGTCTCCTTGCCAAGGAGGCTGTTCCCATGCCTGGGCTGGAGGAGGGTGGCCCGTTGCCCTGGAATCCCTGGCACAGTTAAAGCATATTTTACTTCACTCATATTGCCATGACAAAGCTAAGTTGAGTCCTTAGAGAAATGGATGTTTTTCTGTCTGGCTCACAGCAGTGTTTTCTTTTACAGTGATGATCAATTCTGAAGGATTAGAGCAAACTGAAACGCTTTAAGAAGGTAAGTGGTAGCAGGAGAAAGAACTAAAATCAAGTTGTGCAACCAAATATTTTTGTGTCTGCTTTGTCCACAAGACCGGTGGCGTGCACAGAAATTATATACAAGTGGCTGCACCCCACAGAGCAATACTGGTACAGAGATACCTCAGAACAAGCTTTAATGAGTGCTCTCACAGTATGAGAACATAATGTCACTACACCACCTCGTAGATGATCCCTTAAACAAATGCCTATCTTACTTTGGTGGCAAGACCTGAATAGTTGAAAAGTATCATACATTATGCATTACAATTAACTTAAAACATCAATTCCTTAAAGGACATTAAAGCCAATTTTTAGAAGTTGGGAGAAACACAGCAAACTTGTCAGCAATTTATTAGGAACAGAAATTGGAAAGGACTGGGCTCTTTTCATGTCAAAACTCTATGGGTCTGGGTCGGGTGCGGTGGCTCACACCTGCAATCCCAACACTTTGGGAGGCAGAAGGTGGGCAGACCACCTGAGGTCAGGAGTTCAAGACCAGCCTGGCCAATGTGGCAAAACCCCGTCTCTCTCAAAAATTAACCTGGTATGGTGGTGCACACCTGTAATCCCAGCTACTTGGGAGGCTGAGGCAAAAGAATTGCTTGACTCAGGGAGGCGGAGGTTGCAGTGAGCCGAGATCATGCCACTGTACTCCAGCCTGGGTGACAGAGCAAGACTCTGTCTCCAAAACAAAAAAGATCCAAATGGTTTTATTTGGGATGGTAACTTTTTAAAAAATATAGGGTGTATTTCCTTGTATCAGAAAAAAAAAAAGTCTATGGGTCTGAATGGCAATATGTTCTCAAGCTAAGCTTGGTTTTTGGAACCATTCTTGACAAGAAAGTTGGTGGCATCACCTCTGGTGCTGCTCTTGAACTTCCTGTGCACAGCCAAGGCGTCACTGGGGAGGGGAGCATGCAGGCTCAACCCAGCCAGGAAGTGCTGCAGACCTAGTGGCAATAGGAGACAGGGAAGTAAGGGTCTTTTTTAACCCAGTAGGTCCATGATGAAAAACGTGATTCATGGAAACAGCCTGGTCTTTCATGCCATTTCAAGGCAGCAACCTACTACAGGTGAACTATGTTTTTATGTGCTTAAGCAGCAGCAATTCATGGTGGTGACATAGTGAACAGAGTATGCTGGGAAAGCCAGAGCATCATGCTAGCCTGTGCTGAATTAAAGGATGAATGAACAACTCCAAGGACATTCCCTGGCTGGATTCTATCAGTCTGTGGGGACTCTAGAGCAAACCTCATTTCATTGTGCTGGGTTTCAGTTACCTCGGATCTGTCCAGATCTTCCAGTTCTAAAACGATATTATACCATATCATTACAATAGCATAAAAATTCTTATGGAATTTAAGGTTTCATACGTACTTTGGATTCTGCCTTCCCAGCAGGCAAAAACTCCATTTCAAAAACTGGATTATCATGGTGGCCAACGATTACAAAGTAGAAGCTCCCAGACATGGTCTTCAATATATGGCTCCTAATGAAGTGAAAAATAGTACATATTTTTAGTAGTCAATATTGAAATTCACTCCAGCCTAAGTGACAAAATGAAACCCTGTCTCAAAAAAAAAAAGTTCAACAGATTGGCAAAAGAAAGAAAACTACGAGAAACTGGGAGAAAAATATAAGTGATTCCATGGCTTTTAGCAGAGATAACTGAAATCTAGATGAATGATAGATGAGTGGGGGTATGGACGGATTTAGGGGCAAGGGAATCCCACCATGTATATTTTTAACAAAAGGGCTTTGGAGTCAAACAAAGTGAGGCTGAAGTCTAGCTCTGCTAACTTACTGGCAGTGTGACCACAGGCAGTTCTTAATTTCCTAATGTCGGTTTTTTCATCTGTGAAATAGTGATAACACTGTAGCACCGAGGATCACACAAACTAATGCATGTAAAGTACCCATCACAGTGTCTGATTCACAGTACGTGCTCAATTAATGTTATCTAGAATAACATGGAAGACTGTATGCACACTGGGATGTGGTGACTAGTAACTTCTCAACACGGAGTGGAAATCAAGTAAATTGGGTGTTAACAGTCAATCTCCTGGAACATACATCTGAGGTGTGTTAGAAGCCAAGACTTATCAAGTATCATTGGGCCTTCTGCTGATTCACACAGAACACACAATGAAATCAGAAGAAATCTGATATGTACTTGCTAATGAATGACACATTTTACAAAGGAAATCAAGGCACAGCTGGCACTTTTAAGTCTAGAATTGGAAGACTGAGTGTGGAAGAAAAGGCAGATAGTTGACCCTTGGCATGATGAAGTAGGATTTAAAATGCTTTTTGGGGTGGGGGTAGAGGGGTGGGGGACTATAGACCACAGGCCAAATTTAGCCTTGCCCATCCTCTTGTGACCATCCAAGGCTGCGCTCAGGCTTCAGTGGCATAGTTAAGCACCTGTGACAGAGATCAGCTGTCCCACAAAGCCAACAATATTTATTATCTGGCCCTTTAAAGAAAATGTTTGCCCCTGTTTTAGGGTAAAGATGAGAAAAAGATCCAAACAGAAAAAGTGGATAACAAAGACAAGCAGGAATGAGACAAAAGCTATGCAAAACTAGAAGAACTGGCAATAATTCTCCAGAGAAAGTGAAGGCAAGAAGGATGGGGAGTTGAAATTTGAACAAAGTAAACAATGATATCATAAATTTTTGCTGCCAAGAGAAGGGCTTCTTTCTTTCTTCAACACATTTAAGCAGCAGCCGCTGCAGCAACACACACACACACACACACACACACAGCAGCAGCAGCAACAGCAGCAGTAGAAGGAAATACATGTACATATATATAAGGGGGATAACATGGATCCCCACGCTCAACCCTATATGGAAAGCCATGAACGGGCAAGCAGCATAGTGCTAAGTCAGCGGGAAGACCGAAAGGGAACTCAAAAGATCGACTGCACGAGGGTGCTGTTACTAGCTATCCAGCTGGGCAGAAGATGAGACAGAGCTTTCTTTATATACATTCGTGCTTGACTTGAGCTGCAATTACTCGATTTTGTAAACAGCTGAAGAAGCAAGAAGGGCTGTAGCTTTTCATGCAACTCTGCCAAGGAAAAACTGACAGGTCAAGCGGAAGAACTGAAAACCCTGGGAGAAAATGACCCCATTGTCTCAGGAGGGAAACAGCTGTAATCACTCAGCAAATACTTGAGGGTGTTGGGCAAAGGTGAGATACACACCAGGATTCTGCACTGTCCAATCTATGGAACTTGCTGCAAGGGCGGAAATGTTCTACATATGTGCTGTCCAATACAGGAGCTAGAGAGCATTAGAAATGTGGCTAGTGTGACTGTAGAACTGAATTTTAATTTAATTTTAATTAAACATAAATAGCCACATGTAGCTAGTGGCTCCAGTACTAGACAGTGCAGGTCTAGATCAATGATGCCAAACTAGTGGCACGATCTTAGCTCACTGCAACCTCCGCCTCCTGGGTTCAGGAGATTCTCCTGCCTCAGCCTCCCGAGTAGCTGGCAGTACAGGCATGCGCCACCATGCCTGGCTAATTTTTGTATTTTTAGTAGAGACGGGTTTCACCATGTTGGCCAGGCAGGTCTCAAACTCCTGACCTCAAGTGATCTGCCCACCTTGGCCTTCCAAAGTGCTGGGATGACAGGCGTGAGCCACCATGCCTGGCCTGATTCCAAACATTTTATAGAAGTTCTGTTGACTTCCTCCACCTTCCCTTCACTCACAAAACAATTATTACTTAGAATTCCAATATATAATACAAAAAAAGCAACTGCCGTGACTTAAGTACCTGCGTTGGCATGAGTATGTACGTATGGTCTGCTTGATTTTCCCACCGCCTTTGAAGCATCTCCAAGGAGGGCTTGGCCCAGAGGTGTTGAGGAGGCAGCTACACAGAATTTGGGATTAGATTAAACTGCAAAATTGAGGACAAGAGGAGACTCCACGCTGGTTTCCAAACGTCTAGCTGAGGTGAACAAGCAAAATAGTGGCCCCTCTCCCAAGACGTCCACATCCTAATCTCTGGTACTTGTGAGTATGTTAGGGCTCATGGCAAAGAGGAATTAAGGTTGCTTATCAGCTGACCTTAAGATAGTAAGACTGTCCTGGATGTCTTCCCAGTGTCATGACGAGGGCCTTAAAAGTAGAAGAGGGACGCAAAGGAGGAAAGTCGGGGGAAGTGACGGAAGAATGGTCATAGCACTGTGATGTTGACAGCTTTGAAAATGAAGGAAGGGGCCATAGCCAAGGAATGCAGGAGGCCTCTAGAAGCTGGAAAGTACAAGGAAACTGATTCTTGTTTGGACCGTCACTTGTGGTGGAAACAGCAGCTGTCCTCGGTGGCTAGGGAAACCTGGGTTTTGAGAGGGAGAAGACTAAAGAAATCAACTTGGTGATTCGAAGCTCGCTGACTACCTTAAATTTAAAGATACCACATATAAGATGTAAGAAGTAGGACACTAGTAATGAACATAAAAACGGGACCAGAAATCAGCTAACATTAGAAGGAGGCCTACAATGAGTTGAAGTGTGTGATATATTTTTTTTTAAAAAAAGGCTTTTTAGGCTAAGATCAGGAAAAAGGGAGAAGGGTCAACTGCTTCAAGTGCTTGGTACGCACTGAAATAATGGAGGATGCTGATCTGCTTAACTTCTATTTTCTCTGTTAAAATAAATGATGTTTCAAACAGCAAGCATGGAAGAAACAAGGTTAGGCAGGCTGCGAACCTCAAGACAGGTATATTAAGAAAACATCTAGACATTTCAATAAATCCAAGCTGTCAGGTCCTGGCAAATTATATACCTTGGATTAACAAATGTGATTGCATAACTTCTGATCACTGACATTTGAGAAATTGCAAGAAAAATGCCATATTATCCACTAGGTTAAATGCTATTTGTATTTTCAGAAACAGGAAAAAGGCTTATCTCCTAGTTTATAATAGGGTACATTCAGAGTGACGAGAACACCAACAGAAACATGTATTAAATGCTTATTTTCAGTCAGATGCCATGCCAGGTACTTTTATTTACATTAACTCATTTAATGTGAATCCTTAGATAAAAACATAGAATTATTCATTCACATACTCCTTATTGTACTGAGAACAAGTCATGCCAAACTTATGTTTTTTGTTTCTGAAGGGAGACACAGCAGGTAAACAGAAAGTTATTTTCTGAAATATTTTGTTATCTATCTAAGAACTGGAGACCTGGAGGCTGGGTGAAAATACAGAGTCTTGCTAGAATGGTGCCCTCCACGAGAGCAGATACACCATTCGTCTCATTCACTGTGGTATCCCTAGAGCTACAACAGTGCCAGGTACCCAAAAAGCACTTACTATTTGCTGAATGAGGGATGGCTCATAGCTGACTTGAGTGTCAGTACTCGGAGATCATTGTGTGGTCCATGTCAATTTATGGCCTAGGGTCTCTAGGAAGGCTTTGAGGTTGATCTTAATCTAGTCTAACTTAGTATTTAAATTAATAACTTGAATGAAGACAACTTATCACATTCAAAGATAACACCAAGGGCAGCTAATTTATTAGAAGGCAAAAGTTAGGATTCAAAAAGATCTCCATGGCTAGGAGAGTTAGGTGAAATTAACAAGATAGAAGTTAAGAGGATAGGAAAGAAAGCCCTGTAATTGGGCTTAAAAATCAACTGTATGACAACAGGACAAGGGAAACCTAGCTTATGAACAGTTCATCTACATCAACCCAAATGTTTTAACTTACTGCAAGCCCAATAAGAGGCAAAAGTCTGATAGGTTTGTCAAAAAAGCTAATGCAATTCTGAGTGGCATTAAGAGCAAGGTTGGGAGAATGCTGATGTCCTCTTCAATAACATTATCACTTTGGGGAAGGTACTCAGAATCATATTGTAAAACGATCAATAACTGTGTGTTACAGGGGAGGGGAGGGCAGGATCTAGGCTAGGAAATGCTCTGGAAAGAAGACAAGAGCAACTGAAGGAACTAGAGAGGTTTAAATGGGGTGGCGGGCCCTTTTGGGGGTGGAAACGGAACGAGGTATAGCACAGTACTATCTTTATATATGATAAGCTATCTAATGAAAAAGGAACTTGGCTGGGAATGGCAAATGAGTTTCCTCTCGTGAGTGAATTCTAATCAACTGGTAGTGAATGCCAGGAACTGGTGCTGAAGAAGATTCTGAGACTAAGTGTGGTCAGCAGGAAAGAATGCTGTGATCAGTTATCCGTGTCTGCTATGGATTTGGGGAAGTGCAATGCCTGCAGGAGGGCCAAGTATTTGCTGACTCTGGACTACACAGACTTATTACAAACTGTTCCAATAGGCCAAATCCAGGGCTGCTCATTGGAAATCACTGGGAAACTAGAAACTAAGGAGTGGCTGGAACACCACCAGTGCCAGAGTGGGTGGATGCTCAATGAACTTGGATGTCCCTTCTCTTAAGTTGCAGGCAAATGCAAGATAAAACTCATGGACTCCAGTTCCAAAGACATCCATTTTTATAGCACACCTCTTTACAGCCTCTATAGAAGAGCTTCTAGAAAAACTGCCCTGTGCTCCTGACAGCAGTGGTTTCAGTTGTTCCATAGACCTGGGGTCATGAGACTAAACTGGTGTGGCATGGGACATGTCTATTGCAATGAGGAGGGGCAGTATGAATACTACTGATAGGTCTCTAATGTGACATTTTTCCTATTAATATTATAAGGAATTCTCCCACCCTTAGAAGTTATGCTAGTCTTTGGAGAACATTTTATCTAATTATATTCATGTATTCAACTGTGGGACCAAAGGTGGGGGTGGGGGTGGGAATGAGGGGGGTCTTCAGGAACTTTAAAAAAAGAAAAAAGCAGCGGACAAGTGATTCTACTTAACAACATATCAACATCTTTTTAGAACACTGTTTTCATTTCATTATTCCACTCAAAAGCCTTAATGTGTCTCAGCTACAGGATCATGTACTAGTATTCATAATGGATTCCCACATCGCTCCACACCTTTTCTCAGCCCTATTGTTCCACTTCCGCTAGAGTTGACTCGTTTATTTTTTCTACCAAATTCACTTTGACCATATCTACTTCAGAGCTACTATCATTTCTCTCTTCATGCTTGGAATGTTCTCCTTGATTCTGCCTGCAATCCATACCCATCCTTTAAAATCCAACTAAGCCTCTCCTCAATTATTTCCAACAAATAACTACAGGTTCTCCACCTCCTATGAAGTCCTGTCACTCTTACTGCCTCTTAAATACTTAAGTTTTTCACAGCCAGAGATCAAAACTCATTGTACTCATCTTCCATGCTGTACACAAAGCTGACATTGATCCAATTTTGTCCTCACAGTTCTTATAAGGCTTATATTCCCAGTATACAACTCTGGAGTCAGGCTAGATTCCTCACTGCCCCCATGAGGGTCCTTGCCTTTTTTTTTTTATGATTCCTTTGCTCATTTTTCCCCCTTCCTGCGATGTTCTCCTTTTTGCTCACCACCCGAATCCTACCCATCAAGGCCATGATAAAGTCACACTTTTTCCATAGAGATGATCTGGATCACTTCCATCTTCAACCACCTCCCCTTTAAACTCTTTATCCGATCTACAATGTATGTTAGTTCTTGTTCAATTCTCTAGCTGTAACATTTTCATTATTGCTTCTGATAGGTTTGGTTCCTCTTCTTTCTAATGACATTTATGCATCACGAGGACTGGTTCACCTTTCCTCACAGCACGCAACAGTGGGTACTCTAAAACGTTTACCTCTGTGAATCTCAACCTGGAGCGATCTTGCTTCCGAGAAACATCTGGCAATGTCTAAGGACATTTTTGGTTGTCACATCTGGGGGAGAAGGTCCTACTGACTAATAGAGACCAAGGATATAACTAAACCTACAACGCACAGGACAGCCTCCCGAAACAAAGAATCTTCCGGCTCCAAAAGGCAACAGTGCCGCCGTTAAGAAACCCTGGGTTAGCTGAATGACCCAGTAAGTTCCAAAAGCAAAACTCCCAAGAGGGCGGATGTTTGCAGGTAGAAGCGCTGGCGCGGATGAGCCGGCACAAGACTGGCAGGTCCCGCCCGGCCACCCCGGGAGGGATGGAGGTACAGGACCGACATCCGCGTCACGCAGGGCCGAGGAAGTCCTCCAGGGACTCAAAACACCCGCCCCCCCCAACCCCAGTCGCTCCATCCCCTACCTGCAGAAGAGGCTGGCAACGGAAACGCAATGTCAGTTCCCGCGGCAGAGACCCGCGCGCCACAGCAGCAGCCGGGATTATCGGAGCAGTTATCGCGATACTCCGGGATGTACTCTCGCGAGATGTAGGGGGAGCTTCCGGCCGGTGCTGGGCAACCGAGCGCATGCGCCCTAGTTCTCCAGACCGGGAAGGCTGTATTGAGCAGGTCTCCGGGAGTTGCCGGTCGGGATGTGAGGTGGTCCTGCCTCGCAGCCTTCAGTCCCAAGTCTCCGGGTCCCCGCCGAGCAGGTATCCGGGAGTTGCAGGTCGGGATGTGAGGTGGTCCTGCCTCGCAGCCTTCAGTCCCAAGTCTCCGGGTCCCCGCCCTCCAGCCACCTTTGAGTCGTGCCTGGGTCACGGTCCTCATCCATGCCTCAGAATCGCGAAGAAAGGAAGCTCGTATGTTTGCTGGAAAACCTAGTTGGGAGAGCGGGGCAGGGAGTGTTCAGCACCTTTGTTCCTCCCGACCCCCCGGGACAGAGGCAGGGCTCTGAGGGCAGGGATTCCCCCTCGTCTTGGCCCTACAGCCCGGGCTGGGCATTAAACTCGGGCCACGGCGAGGCGAGCGAGGCGGGCTCGGGAGAAAGCTGATGCCTGATGATGGCTCAGGTAGACACACCTGCCCCTTCTCGGGACACGCGGAAATGAAGTCTTGTTTGTGTTTGTTAAAACTCCTTTCCCCGCTAGGCCTCTTATGGCTTCTCCGGAGGCCACTGGTCTGTTTTCAGACATTCTCCTTCTCTCTGCCCCGAAGGTAACCTGTAATCATTGTGTCTTCTAGTCCAACATGCTCCCCGTGGCTGATGTGTTGAGTCAAGATGAACTGCGCAAAAAACTATACCAGACGTTTAAGGATCGGGGTATACTGGACACACTCAAGGTATAGGATTTAGGCGTATCTGTGTCATAACTTTTACAAGTGTAACCTGTAACAGGTAGTTCACATTTAAATTCAAGGTTTGGGTTTTAATCGTGTGATGCATAGATGCTATTGGTGAATTAACGTTTTTATATTCTTGAATAGCTATCCTGATATATTACAGTCTCTTGAAAACGTTTGAGAAAATGTTGAGTATGAGTTGTCTTAAAGGAGCATATTCAAATAATTAATTGAAAATAAAATAGCAGGAAATATTTATATAATACATTTTAATAAGATTAGGCTTGTATTATACATATATATGGCTTACAGTTTCCTAAATTAAGTGGGTTTGTAATACATTTGGATGAAGGACGTTGACACTATATAGAAAATACTAGTGTACTGCTTCATAATAGTTTGGGGAATGAAAAATTTCATCTTTAAACTATATTGAAATGTATGAATATTTAATTCGGGCAGCAAATATCTATTAGTATACTTTATATTTCGATTAACAGCTAGGAATAGGATTAGCTGAACGTGCTTTCATTGCAATATGCATTTCAAAAGTGTATTTTACATTTAAAATATGTAGATAGATTCTGTGTATATATCGTTTTTTTAATTATGTGGTGAGCATTTCCCTGTTTCCTTAAAAGTTTCTTGAAATCCTCATTTTCAGTGGCAACAGGCTTATCTTTGCATATTTTTGTAATATATGTAGCAGTCCCCTGTTGACTATTTTGGTTATATTTCTCCAATAGTCCACAGAGGTGTGATGAGGTGGCAGAATTTTTTCCTGTACTTAATATCCCAATTGTAAGCTGCTGAAATGGGCTTCTAGGGATGTGAAGTTACGAGTCTGCAAGCAGGTCTGGCTAACCACCAGTTTAACTTGGAAGCTGAGGAAGGAAAGCTTTTTCCAGAACCCACTGGGTTTCTACCCCGTTTGTCTTGCAGGATAAAACAAAGTGCGCTGGGGAAGGTTCCTAACTTCTGGCCATGGATCTAGAACCGTTATGGAAATAAAAGAAAGGTTTCCAATGAATGTAACACATCTGTGAATATCTCTTGTGAAACAGTCATGCTGAAATTTCTTTCTCTTGTGTTTCTTTTTTATTTGTATTTTTGCACTAGACGCAACTTCGAAACCAGCTAATTCATGAGCTGATGCACCCTGTATTGAGTGGAGAACTGCAACCTCGGTCCATTTCAGTGGAAGGCAGCTCCCTCTTCATAGGCGCCTCTAACTCTTTAGTGGCAGATCACTTACAAAGATGTGGCTATGAATATTCACTTTCTGTTTTCTTTCCAGAAAGTGGTTTGGCAAAAGAAAAGGTAAAGTCTTTTCTGTTTTTGAATTTTTTATTAGCAGGTTCTTCCTCTGCTGCTGACTGTAAAGTGCTCCATGACAGCTAAGTGCTCCTTGACTAGGTCCATTTCTCGTTCCTCTTTGGATTCACATCGCACCTGAACATAATATATTTGTTATGTAACAAGTTGATACTAAATTTGAAATTAATTTCTTGGCATCTCATTCAGTCTTATGTCATATAGTGATATATAGAATCTCTAAATGGTTCAGACCTGTAATTGATCTATCCTCCTTGTTGCCTGCCAACCTGCTGAATGTCCACGGTAAGCTTGGCATTGTGATAGGCATGCTGCACATGTTTTGTGTGTTGCAGTTGAAGAACCAGACCCTGGACAGGTGAATTAATTTGCCCAAGGTCAATTAACTCTTAAGTGACAATAAAGGGTGGTAAATCTAGATCTCTAATGAGCTCTTTTTCCTGCACTAGTTTTTTCAGATGTTTCTCTGCTTTGTAATTGAGAAATACGTAATTTAAAAAAAACTGTTAAGTTCTCAAATATTGACTTGTTTTATTTTTTACTACTTTTCTGATTTCAACTATTATTTCTTCACCATTACTGTTGAACATTAGTCCTACTTTATTGTTTTAAGGCAGATACAGCAAACTTTCCCTGTGGATATGTGTGTGTTTTTTTAATAGACTTTATTTTTTCAGAGCAGTTTTAGGTTCACAGCAAAGTTTAGTGGGAAGCACAGAGAATTCCCATATACCTGCTGCCCCTACACACTCACAGCCTCCCCTACTGTCAACATCTTACATCAAGGTGGTACATTTGCTATTATCGATAAGCCTACCCTGACATATCATTATCACCCAAAGTCCATACTTTACAGTGGAGGTTGCAGTGAGCTGAGATCGCACCACTGCACTCCAGCTTGGGTGACAGAGCGAGACTGTCTCAAAAATAAAATAAATTTCACTTTTGGCGTTCATGTTTTTACTTTCTTTGTGTTTTCTGTAAGTTTCATATTTCAATGTTTTAAGGACACATGAAGCTTAGTATAGCATTTGAATGAAAACTTAAATCTGCATTTCATCATAAGCAAGAAAATTTTATTAACATTAGGAAATTTTTTTTTGAGACACACAGGTTTTGCTCTGTCACACAGGTTGGAGTATGATGGCTCAATCTTGGCTCACTGCAGCTTCTGCCTCCTGGGTTCAAGCAATTCTCCTGCCCCAGCCTCCCAAGTAGCTGGGATTACAGGCACCTGCCACCACACCCAGCTAATTTTTGTATTTTTAGTAGAGATCGAGTTTCACCACGTTGGCCAGGCTGGTCTTGAATCCTGACCCAAGGTGATCCGCCTGTCTCAACTTCCCAAAGAGCTGGGATTACAAGCGTGAGCCATTGTGCCTGGCCTGGAATTCATTTTTGATACATCATTGTCTAACTTTGTAATCACTTCATACTTTTGCCTATTGTGTAATAGTCAATTATGTAATTACATAGCAGGAATTAATCCCATTCATACATCTTAAGTTTTTAATGTAAAATGCCCATGCAGAATATATTCTTTAAAGGAAAACCAATTGAAAACAAATAATATCAGTGTTTGCAGAGTAGACATAGTAAATGGTATATACTGTAGTACAAATATATTTTAGTAGCTACCCAAAATGTCCGTTTAATAATATTTTAAGTACATTTTAATGATGGTTGTAAGGACAGTAAAAATTTAGTTTATTTACATTTTTTAAAAATGAATACTTTACAAAAAATTATAATTGAATGACCCAGGAACTCAGTCATGTATTCATTGGTTCATCAGATACTTAAGTGTCATCTGTAAGGTGTTAAACATTTCTGTTAGGCATATCATCTTTGATGCGAAGTACTTAGAAGTTAATTACATGATAAAGGCATTTTTTCCTTTTTACCTGGATATGTTTATAGTAATTTATTCAACAGTGTAAGAAAGAGCTTTAATTTTTCTTATTAGCATAGTTATAATCTTATTTAATCTGAAGGATGTTTCTTAATCTCATTCAGAAACATATTCTAATTTATTTAAACACTGTTATAAAAATATGTCTAATTAGTAACCTTTTTTTCTTAAGGTATTTACTATGCAGGATCTATTACAACTCATTAAAATCAACCCTACTTCCAGTCTCTACAAATCACTGGTAAGATTGCTTAGTTTCTGTAATCTACTTTGCTTTGTTAATTATAACTGAATAGCTGAATAAAGGTAAAATACTTTCTTTTAACAGGTTTCAGGATCTGATAAGGACAACCAAAAAGGTAGGAGCTGTCATCTTTGTAGAGAACAGCAACATTTTTCTATGTACTTTTTCCTCTGAAAGAATGAAACTAATTTTTAGGGAGAAGAGTAAGAAATTTAATAATTATTTGATTTCTGCAGGTCATTTCCACCATATTTTCATTTTCGTAATAACTTTTAGATGTTCAGATAAAACTGCGGACAGTGTCAAAGGCCTTACAGACAGGCTGAAAAATACTGTTAGTAAAAATACCCACTGTTGGGAACATTTCCGCAGGGGGGAAAAAAAAAAACCTCAAAAAACTAATAACTTCTAGGCCAAGTTCTTTGCATACTAGGTATCCCTGTCAAGTACAATTGATAGAGTATTAGATGTATTAATATTTCCTTAAGCAATGAGAGGTGTGTTCAGTAATGTGTTATATATCTTTTGTTCTTAAATGTTTATACAGACCTGATAAATTGCCTTGATTTTGGCCTTGATAATAACCTTTCATAGAGTCCATAACTACTCTGGGTTTCAGACCATTGATTAGACTGGATGATAGTCTTTGTAGCATGAACTCAAGCTGGTAATTTGACTTTGATGCATGGTTGTTCTTTAGGTCTTTTAAAATAATCTGTTAGTAATGGTCCTTTTGTTTTGGTACACCCTTGGATTTTGTCTGTTGCCTGCAGTGCTATCCCCACAAGGACATTCATTCATTCTCCCATTCATTCATCAGTTTATTCAGAACTTAACAATCATTTGAATACTTACTTACTGCCAGCCATTAAGTCTGTGACTTAATCGCCAAGCCTCTTGGTAGTAATGTTAGCAGAGGATAAATAAATTGGAACACAAGATATTCTGGGCTGCCTGCAAACTAGACCATCCCTACTGAAGTTCGGTATGGTAAATGATCCTATGTTCTGTACTCTTAAGTACTGTCCAGTGTAACTCTGTGATTATGGAAATGTCTGTATGCTATTTAATGTGGTAGCTGCTAGCCTCATATGGCTATTGAGCACTTGAAATGTGGCTAGTATGACTGAATAACTGAATTTTTAATTTGCATTTAAGTAGCTACACATGCATAGTGACTACCATATTAGACAGCATAATTCTAAGGTATATAGCTAGTATCTTTTGCTTAACTGGTACTTCAGAAGGTAATTTATGGCTTGAAGGGATATTAAGAAATCTATGGGCCAGGCAGGGTGGCTCATGCTTGTAATCCCAACACTTTGGGAGGCTGAAGTGGGATGATCATTTGAGATCAGGGGTTTGAGACCAACCTGGCCAACATGGTGAAACTAAAATACAAAAATTAGTCGGGCCTGGTAGCTAGCACCTGTAACCCCAGCTACTTGGGAGGCTGAGGCAGGAGAATTGCTTGAACTGGGGAGGTGAAGGTTGCTGTGAGCTGAGATCACACCACTGCACTCCAGCCTTGGTGACAGAACTAGACTCCATCACCCCCCCCCCCCGCCAAAAAAATCTATGTACTTATTATAGATCCGTTATCTTTAAAAATAGTTTTGCTACCTTTACACGGTCTCTTTAAATGCATCTGGTTCAAAAGTTAAAATTCTTATCTGCAATTGGCAAAAGAATAGACACATACATCAATAGGGGCAGAATTAGAAAGTCCAGAAATACATCCACACAAAAAAAGTCAATTGTTTTTTCTTTCTTTTTTTTTTTACAAAGATGCAAAGGCAATTCAATAGAGGAAAGATAGTCATTTTAGCAAATGGTGCTGGAACAACTGGATATTCATATGCACAAAAATGAACCTAGACACAGATCTTGTACCTTACACAAAAACTAACTCAAAATGAACCATAGACCTGAATGTAAAATGCAAAACTATAAAACTTCCAAATGAAAACGGGAAAAAGTCTATGCAATCTTGGGTTTCATGATGAGATATAACACTGGGAGCAAGATATGTGAAAGAAAAAAGTAGACCAGTTAGACTTTAGTAAAATTAAAAACACCTCTATGAAAGACACTGTTTTGTTTTGTTTTGAGTTGGAGCTTCACTGTGCCACCTGACCTGGAGTGCAGTGACGTGATCTCGGCTCACTGCAGCCTCCGCCTCCTGGATTTAAGCAGTTCTCCTGTCTCAGCCTCCCAAGTATCTGGGACTACAGGTGCCCGCCACCACACCCAGCTAATTTTTTTGTGAGTTTTTAATAGAGATGGGATTTCACCATGTTGGCCAAGCTGGTCTCAAACTCCTGACCTCTGGTGATCCGCCCACCTTAGCCTCCCAAAGTCTTGGGATTTACAGGTGTAAGCCACTGTGCTCTGTGGAAAAATACTGTAAAGAGAATGAGGCCGGGCGCGGTGGCTCAAGCCTGTAATCCCAGCACTTTGGGAGGCCGAGACGGGTGGATCACGAGGTCAACAGATCGAGACCATCCTGGTCAACATGGTGAAACCCCGTCTCTATTAAAAATACAAAAAATTAGCTGGGCATGGTGGCGCGTGCCTGTAATCCCAGCTACTTGGGAGGCTGAGGCAGGAGAATTGCCTGAACCCAGGAGGCAGAGGTTGCGGTGAGCCGAGATCGCGCCATTGCACTCCAGCCTGGGTAACAAGAGTGAAACTCCGTCTCAAAAAAAAAAAAAGAGAGAATGAAGAGAGGCAATGTCAAAACCGATAGAGCTTTATATTATCAAGAGTGAACCTGAGTTCTTGTAATGTAGGATTTGCAGTGAAAAAAAAAAAAAAAAAGCGAACCTTAATGTTTGCAAATTTAGGTCAGGTAATCCCAGGATGGAATGCAGACTGTGACAAAACAATCTAACTCCAATCCCTTCACTAAAGGGGGTGGGGGTGGGGGAAAAGGTGCTGAGCTAATGTTTTTAGTTCCAAGAAGCTAACAATTTCTTAAATTTATGCTTGTGGTTTAAAACATTTCAAACTATTTGGAATGATCTAAAGTGAAAACAAAGTAGCAGTTTCTGCCCATGTTCTTTAATCTCGCTTTCCACTGATAACTAAAATTAATAGTTTCTTGTTTATCCTTCTAGAATTCTTTGAGTTTAAAACTCTGTGTATTTCTAAAACACATAATCAAGTGGGATTATTTATAGCTACTGTATGCAATTTGCTTTTTTAAATCCACCCCAATATATCTTTCTGTAGTAGGATAGACTATTTTTAAAGAATGTATTTAACCCCCTATTGATGGAGATTTGTTTGTTTCATTGCTTTTTGCTGTTAGAGGTAACCATTGTGCAGTGTGCACCCTTTGTGCCCTTGTGAAAGTATAGCTGTGTAAATTCATAGACATGAAATGACTAGATTAAAAGGCACATGCAGTTTAAATATATATAAGCACTGACAAATTTCATTCCCAAGTGAATGAGCATAGTTATATATCCACTCCTTTGTCAACACTTAGCATTATAAAAGTTTTAATCTTAGCAGTGTTATAGGGAAAATAATGGTTTCTTTGTTATAATTTCCATTTATGATCTTATTTATGTTTATTCGGTATCTAAAAATTTTGTTCATCTTTGACTTTTTTTCTGCAAATGTTTTTTGCCCGTTTTTCTGTTTTTTTTAAACTGATTTGTAAGAGTTCTTTGATGTTATGAAAATGTCATCACTTTAGTCTTGGTTATGCTTCTATAGTATTGCAACTATTTTTCCCACTGTATTTTTTTATTTTATGCCATATGTACAATTTTTATGTAGTTAGATTAATATTTCTCCTTATTCCTTCCAGGTTTTGTATCATGCTTGGAAAGGCCTTTCCTCAGATTTATTCTTAAAAGATATGACTGGGCACAGTGGCTCATGCTTGTGATTCCAGCCCTTTTGTAGGCCCAGGCAGGAGGATTACTTGAGGCCATGAATTTGAGACTAGCCTAGGCAACATAGCAAGACCCTGTCTCTACAAAAAATAGTCCCAGCTACTTGGGAGGCTGAAGTGGGAGGATTGCTTGAGCCCAAGAGGTGGAGGCTGCAGTGTGCCATGATTACACTACTGCACTCCAGCTTGGGTGACAGAGCAAGACTCTGTCTCTTAAAAAAAGGAAATAAATATAATGTAAAAAATGATATTGTCATAAAACTAAGATTGTATAAACAGTGAGCAGTGGTTGAAAGTTCTGAAACAAATGTATGCATTATGTTTTTTAGGTTTTCTTATGCATTTTTTAAAAGAACTGGCAGAGTATCATCAAGCTAAAGAGGGCTGTAATATGGAAACTCAGACAAGTTCGATATTTAGCAGAGATTCTCTGGGTAATTATAGCCTTCTTTCTTAATTTCAGTTCCGTTTTCATTTTGAATGAAAAAAATTACCTGATTTACCATACTGTGTGACTGCTTCTTGAACTGGAGAGATGCAGCCTGTAGGCAACAAGGGAATTCATTTCTTCTGGAATCATCTTGGGGGACCAGGAAGCGCTCTCCAGTGTTGTTTTCTAGCCTCATGAATGCCAGGGCTACATTGGCCAAATTATGCAGGGATTCAAAGGGCCATATTCTTCCTTGTTTGTTGAGTTTGACCCCTCTTAATTGGGAGGTGGTTCTTCATGTCTTGTCTAACTCCACAGCCACCAAGTTAGAAGATTATAGACTATTTGCTTTGCAAAGAACTAGAGAAGTCACTGGCTTGTCACTTCATTTTATAGTTGAGGAAACTGAGGTCCTCAGAGGAAGAGCAACTTGGAAACAGTCTGCATCAGAACTAATAGTGGAGTCCAATTTCTCCCATCTGTGATCTAGAGATTTTTGTGCTATACAGCTGGTCTACAAATACCATCCTGTCGGTCAGTTTTGTGCTCAGTAGAGATGGGAAACAGCTGTTTAAAATGATGTGCTTACAGGATTTCTCCCTTCCTTAAATAGTAACAGTAACTTGTAAGAAATTAGTAATTTGTTAAATGTATTATAATGACTATGCCTTTAATTAATTGTAGGTTTAATTCCATTAGAAACATATTACTTGCTAATTATCAAGCAGTGCTGTTCAGTAGTGTGAGCCACACACATAATTTAAAATTTTCTAGTAGCCACATTGAAAAAAGTAAAAAGAAATAGATGAAATTTGTTTTAGTAATATTTTTAACCCAATACATTCAAAATATTATTTCAACATGTATTCTGTATAAAAAATAATAATGAGGGCCCTGCCTGCCGCACCTCTCCTTCTATATCTCCAGCCAAAGCCGCAGGCCTGGCCCGGATCCCGGCACCATGAGCTTCGGCTCGGAGCACTATCTGTGCTGCTCCTCCTCCTACCGCAAGGTGTTCGGGGACGGCTCCCGCCTGTCCGCGCACCTCTCCGGGGCCGGCGGTGCGGGCGGCTTCCGTTCACAGTCCCTGTCCCTGTCCAGCAGCAATGTGGCTTCCTCGACCGCCTGCTCCTTGGCCTTGTAGCTCGGCCTCGGCCTGGCCTATCGCCGGCATCCGATGGGCTGGACCTGAGCCAGGCGGCGGCGTGCACCAACTAGTACAAGATCATCCGCACCAACGAGAAGGACCAGCTGCAGGGACTCAGCGACCGCTTTGCGGTGTTCTTCGAGAAGGTGCATCAGCTGGAGACGCAGAACCACGCCTGGAGGCCGAGCTGGCTGCGCTGTGGCAGCGCCACGCTGAGCGGTTGCGCGTCGGCGAGCTCTTCCAGCGCGAGCTGCGAGACCTGGGCGCGCAGCTGGAGGAGGCGACCTCGGCACACATGCAGGCCCTGCTGGAGCGCGACGGGCTGGCCGAGGAGGTGCAGCAGCTGCGGGCGCACTGTAAGGAGGAGAGCCGTGGTCCTGAAGGTGCCGAGCACGCCCTGAAGGCGCAGCAGTGCGATGTGGACGGCGCCATGCTGGCCCGCCTGGACCTGGAGAAGGTGGAGTTGCTGCTGGACGAGCTGGCTTTCGTGCGCCAGGTGCGCGACGAGGAGGTAGCCGAGCTGCTGGCCACGCAGCAGGCGTCATCACAGGCCGCGGCCGAGGTGGACATGGCTTTGGCTAAACCAGACCTGAGCTCGGCGCTGAGGGAGATCCGTGCCTAACATGAGTCCCTGGCTGCTAAGAACCTGCAGTCCGCGGAGGAATGGTACAAGTCCAAGTTCGCCAACCTGAACGAGCAGGCGGCGTGCAGCACCGAGGCCATCCGAGCCAGCCGCGAGGAGATCCACGAGTACCGGCGCCAGCTGCAGGCGCGCACCATCGAGACCGAGGGCCTGTGCGGGGCCAGCGAGTCCTTGGAGAGGCAGATCCTGGAACTGGAGGAGCGGCACAATGCCGAGGTGGCTGGCTACCAGGATAGCATTGGGCAGCTAGAGAATGATCTGAGGAACACCAAGAGTGAGATGGCACGCCACCTTCGGCAATACCAGGACTTGCTCAATGTCAAAATGGCTCTTGACATTGAGATAGCAGCTTACAGGAAACTGCTGGAAGGCGAAGAGACACGTTTTAGCACCAGTGGGTTAAGCATTTCGGGACTGCATCCACTTCCCAATCCAAGTTATCTGCTCCCATCTAGAATCCTCAGTTCAACCTCCAAAGTCTCATCCACTGGGCTATCACTTAAGAAAGAGGAAGAGGAGGAGGAGGCATCTAAGGTAGCCTCTAAGAAAACCTCCCAGATAGGGGAAAGTTTTGAAGACATATTAGAGGAGACAGTAATATCTACTAAGAAAACTGAGAAATCAGATATAGAAGAAACTACCATTTTGAGCCAAAAAATATAATTCCATTGCTTTGAAAGAGTTAATGCTTAAGAGGGAATGATATGCATTTGACCTGTTAAACAGCCTGTTCCTGAAACGTAGCACCTACCACACCACTATGAAATGTCTTCAAGGCTTCAGTCTCATATTTAGTATTGAATACTTACATTCTTTAATAAGAAAACCACCCCTTAGATTGAAGTGAACTACAGTCCTGGAGCGATCACAGATGAGTTATCTAAGAATACAGCTTTCAGACCTTCAGCTCGCGCTTCACAGTGATTGATGATTCAGGTGCAGAGGAAGTACAATCTAAGGTGCTAAATCTGTGACCATCGTCATTTGCTGTGAACTGAAATCATTCACTCCACCCAGCCATTATCCAGCTAAATGATCTTACTCTAGATACCTAAAACATAAGATCAGTGCCAAAGATAAACTAATGGTCCACACCCAGTTCCACTCTGATAGAACTGTTTCCCAAATAATAGGTGTTTGTTTAATGGACACTTTCCACCTCCCTCAATTCCATATATCCTTTTCTTCCATGCAGGAAAAAAAAAAATAGTCTACTGTAGTATTCTTCCCTTTTAAACACATTTTGGTTCTTCTCAAAATAACTTACCCTGTTGGCTCTCTTTGCTCAGTGGCTAAAATTAGATGCATGTTGACCATGTCTATGATTCGTGTAATGACTCATCCCTGCCCATTTCATATTCTTTCAATTCTGTAGGTTAAAAAAAAATGGCAGTGATGAATTTTAAGGGTTTTCCCCAACAAATAAAATAATGAAAAGAATCCCTAGACTTTAGGCTTTCAGCTTACACAAATCCATTTAATTAGGAGAAAAAAACTATTAAGGATGTAGTTTTTCACCTTTACTTTAGAAGCTCAGTAAATAGTTATCCACACTGTGATTAAGCTGAACTTACATTTACTAGTATAAGCTAGAAGAAGTGAGTGTTTCTATGAGTGGAAAAAGCCAAGGTGTCATTTATGTGTCAGTTCATTTGTGGTGATATAGAATTAGCTTTTTCATGCCCTTACCCTTAGAATCCACTCATTGCCTTTCCCACTAGTCTAGGTCCTAAAGAGGCCTTGCTTTCACTCTCGTATGCCTTTTACGAGTACTAAGTATAGGATATTTTGTCACCAGAACACAATGCTATTGCCCCAAAGTAAAAGAAACCACTTCTGGTCGATCAATACCACCAACAAATATAAAAAAGGAAATCTTTCTCTTTTCTAAAAGACTTCCCCAACATTTATCCCATGGCTGCACAGTTGGTAGGGTCCTGCTGGAGAGGAAGAGACACTCAGACCAGAGGAGGGGTGTGCATGCGCCTACTGGCTTGCTAGAAGTAGATTCTGGACAGTCAGCACTTCGTCTGCCCAACTGTGTAGCATCTGCGTTGCCCAGTCTTTCACTTGTGCCAAGGCTGATGCAGGGTTTGTTCTCTGTCCAGCAGTCACTTCTGCCAGAGCTAAGTAGTTGCCCCGTCTTTCTTCCATGTCTCCTTTAAGAGCTCTGGTGATAAGGACATGATGCTTTTACTGAACTTTCTTATCCGAGCACATGCTTCAAATAGTTCAAGGAACTTGAAAGATACTTTTCTCTTCCTTACCTTTACCCCATCCCTATCTTTACTCCTCACCCTTACTGTAAGACATTAGTAAAATAAGAAATTAAAAGTCACATGAATCACACCAAAAAAAAAAATAATGAGATATTTCACATTTATCTTTTGCACTAAGTCTTTGAAATCTCGTGTGTGTTTTACATTTAAAGCACACCTCAGTTCAGTTTGGTCACATTTCAAGTGTTAGTGGCCCATGGGGCTAGAGTCCTATATTGGACAGCATTGCACAGAGCAACTTCGGGCAGAAAAGTAGATGGAAAAACATGTTAAAGACATGCCTACCAGAGATAAACACTATCAATGTTTTAATTCACTTCTGCCAGCCTTTTTCCCCTGTGCATACTTTTCTGGTGGGTGTTATACATGGTTGAGATTGTACTCTAGGTTCAGATTTGCACTCTGCTGTGTAGTTGGTTTGAGGACCACTGGACTTACAGAAGAAATAGTAGACCTCACTTTAGTCCTGGTTGTGCTGTTATATAGTCACTTATTAAGCTACATCAGCATTTGTTCTTTATCTGTAAAAGGGAGGTGTTGAAGTATATGATCTTTGATTCTTTTTAAGTTATTTTGAATGTGCAAGTCAGCTTTAACCAAAGTTTAATAAAGAGCGCTCTGCCTTAACACTTAGAGAGTACGAAGAGACTCCAGTACTTTCTGACTTAAACTGTACTCTTGGCTTTCTTTTTCCTCCAATATTTTATCATGAACATTTTCAAACCTACAGAAAAGTTGAAACAATTTTAGTTAACACTAAAGGTGGTGCAGCTACTCTACCCACCACTAGATTCCACTGTTACATTTGTAGTATACTTGCTTCCTCATTTTTATCTGTCCATCCATTCATCCGTCTTATTTTTTTTGTATTTCAAAGTAAGTCGCAGACATCCCTATGCTTTCCCCTAAGTATACTCTTTACTTTTGAACCAGAGGTCTGGCATCTTACGCACCTGACCATGTTTCTATGTCCTAATTTGATGCTTTGTTTTTTAATAGCTGAGAAGCTTCAGCTTATTGATGATCAGTTTGCAGATGCTTACCCTCAGCGTGTCAAGTTTGAGTCTTTAGAAATAAAGCTAAATGAATACAAGAGAGAAATAGAAGAGCAACTGCGGGCAGAAATGTGTCAAAAGGTAAGCTTTATCTTGTTACTGTTAACAACAGTGACGTTTTTGCTTGTTTTCTAAATTCTTAATCTTAGGTATATGGGAAAATATTTAAATAGAGAAAGGGATACTATACTGTTGTACATTTTTTTTTTGTTTCTGATGACATTTGTTTATGCATTTTGAGTAAATTCTACAAATACAGTGCATGAGATAAAACTAAAGATGAAATAAATATATTTGGACAGAGCATTAATGTTAAACCTAGATATATAGAGAGAATTTGTTCCTGTTTTTATCATATAATAGTTGGTATTTTTAATTTTTTGTGATCAATTTGCAGTTGAAGATTTTTAAAGATACCGAGATAGCAAAAATTAAAATGGAAGCGAAAAAAAAGTATGAGAAGGAATTAGCCATGTTCCAGAATGATTTTGAGAAAGCTTGTCAAGCAAAATCTGAAGCTCTCATTCTTCGGGAAAAGAGTACCCTCGAGAGAATTCAGAAGCACCAAGAGGTGGTATTTATAAATATTTCACTGAGTGCTTATGTCCTGCAGCTATTAGTAGGTTGGCTCCAGATCCAGGAATAAGATGGTACAGTTGACAGAACGAGGACCCAGAAGAGCAGCAGGGACTGTGGCCAAGAGTGCAAATAGAAGGATGGGCCTTGAAAAGGACACACACATTTGCTTCCTCTGAGACTGGTGGAAAGGCAGGAACTGTGGAGGTGAACAAGTTGGGATGATGAGAAACATACCCTAAATAAGTTCCATCTTCTCAGGCAGATTAGAAGGTTAGGTCACAGGTTTTAAGAGCAGCTTGGAGGTGCAGAGTAGCTCCTGTGGGTAAGGGAAGAACAGGTCTTTAAAGCAGAGAGGACTGATCACATGTACTGAGGGCTCAACTGTAGTTGGGGGAACCTGGAATTGAGAGAGACCAAACCATGTGCTTGTAGGTGAGTTTTCTGTTCTAGCTCTGAGGAGGATTTTTAAGTATCTCTTTCTGCCTTTTTCAGTGAGGGTGGAGAGATGGAGATGCTTGGGGAGTGGAACTTTGCAGAGCCTAATTTATTTGACTTGAGAAATGCAGCCTATTTAAAAGATTCTGGGGCTCTCTTGGATAGTGAAGGGAAGCAGAGGAGAGGGCAGGTGGCTGCTAACCTAGGGGGAAAGGGAGGGTCAAGTGTCAGTCTCAGTGATCAAGGACTAGATCTGGAGAGACTGGTAGGGAGAAGAATAAGGATGGTCCAAGAGTACAGAATTGCAGGATGAGGTTTCAGGTGGAGACTGGAAACCAACTGCAGTGTGCTGCCATTGGAAGGAGCCATGGAAATGAGCAAGGGTAAAGGTCCCTGGGGTAAAGGTGTCCCAGGGCGACAAGGGTCATCCACAAGGCCATCTTGTCACCCTGGAAAGTAACTAGATAGGAGATGGAGAGGGTGAGGAGTGGCAGGAAGTTTGTGTCGGCAAGTGAATCCACTCCTTTAAGAAATCATGTTCCTTTCCCAAGGGTATGTCTTAGACCAAACTAGATTTACAGCGCTATTTCCTACATACATCCAGAACTGCTGTCAGATGTTGAAAGTAGGAATGCTTCCCCCTAGTGTCCACTCTTGCTTTGGGCTTCTGAATAAGACCTAGTTGTTTAATGCTAAGGGCACCCCCTCTAAAATTTTATATAGCGTTCCTGGGAATTGGGCTTGCTTCAGCTATAAAAATTAATGTTGGAAGCACATGTCTTTGAGATGATTGAATTATGTTTAGACTAATAGTTTCATCTTCAAGATAGGTGACTGACTAGATCGCTATTTAGCTCTAATTATCTGAAGGCTTTGAAGATTGTCATCCTCATAAAAAGCACCATATCTTTATTCCTTCACCTGGACTGTCCATCCCTTTCTCTCCCTGATAAAACCATACCGTCCTTCAAGACCCAGCTGGGATGTCACCCCGGTGACGCCTTCCATGACTCCCACTGAGTGATTCATATAGGCCTCGTTCCTGCATGTAGTTTTTATGTACTCTTTATGTACTTCAGTTACAAAATCATCACATCTTAGTGTGATTGTTTGTCACTCCCTGACTAAATTGTGAGGTCTTTAGAGTTGAGGACTGTATCTGTCTACCTCTTTATATCTAGTTCCCCGTATGCTGCTTGACATGTGATAGGTAGTTAGTAAATTCTTGCTTTGTGAACACAAATGGAAGGATGGCCCATTCTTTTAGGAGTTCATGAGTTCATATGAGCTTGCTAAATCTGAGTCAGAATGCCCATGAACTGAAACATTTAGACAGCACCACTACTAAAAACCATGGGAATTCTAGTCTTTTGGAGTTTTATTGCTGAATGTACATTGTGTTTAATTTTTCTTCCTGAGGAATTTGCCAAAATTTAGGGAAGGGCACCAGATGTGGTGGTTCATGCCTGTAGTCCCCAGCACTTTCGGAGGCCAAGGTAGGTATATTGCTTGAGCCCAGAAGTTCGAGAGCAGCCTGGAAACACCCCATTTCTATAAAAATACAAAAAAATTACCCGGACTTGGTGGCATGTGCCTGTAGTGCCTGGAGCTACTTGGTAGGCTGAGGTGGGAGGATCCCTTGAGCCTGGGAGGCGGAGATTGCAGGCAGCCAAAATCATCCCACTGCACTCGAGGCTGTGCAACAGAGTGAGACCCTGTCTCAAAAAAATTTTTTTTTTTTTTTTTTTTGCATAAAAGGGACCGAGAGATGTTAAAGAACTAAATAGCATAAATTCCACATGGAATGTTAGGACTATAGGGTAATGTAGTTTAGCAGTCATTGGGAGAGTAAGTTTTTATGCAACTAGAATAGTCAAAAAGCGTACCTTGAGTTGAAATCTGTTGAAGGTGAAATTGTTCTTCTCAATGTCTATACTTTGCTTTTTGGAATTTAGGAAGCAGTATATTCATTCAAATCTATTTTGCTTTCATTAGCTTGCTTGCTAAAAATTAATGCTTTTTTATACAGATTGAAACAAAAGAAATTTATGCTCAAAGGCAACTTTTACTAAAAGATATGGATTTGCTAAGAGGAAGAGAAGCAGAGCTGAAGCAAAGAGTTGAAGCTTTTGAATTGTAAGTAATACATGTTCATTTTGGATATTCAGAATGATAAGATTGAAAAGAATTACTAAATATATGTCTAAATATTCAAATGTTCATTGCCAAGTAGAGTTCTTGTTTGTACCATTAGAAGGTACAAATTAAGAGAAGCAAACACTACTAGGGTTTTGCCTTTGAAATATTAAACATTAAGATGAAAAGCAGAATGAGATGCTATCATCAGGCTGCAGTAAGACCAGACAGATCTGGAGAAGTGGTTAATACTTGAACAGATCGTATGTTTTGCACTTATGCTCAGTCCCTCAGATCTGATAGTTTTGTATGTGTATATATAGTAACTAAATTCCATATATCCAGGCCTGCAGCTTCTACCAGCTGTGTGCTCAGAAAAGGAAGTATGGTGGTCCGACTTGACTTTTATTGGGTGAAACTATTTCTTTGTGTTACTCTAAGTGCTCACAAACGTTTCATCCTTCAAATCTTACCTGGGATTGACAGCAAGCTAACCTGTCTGTAATTTGTGCAGTAAGCCTTCTTTTCCCTTGAGAATGTGCTATTAATCGATATCCATAGATATTCCAAGAATCTTAGTCCATTAAAGAATTTGTCTCCATCTTCATTAATTTTTTTCTCACTTCTATAGGCTTGATTTGTTTGATTTCAACTCTACCTTACTCTCTTTTTGGCAATAATGAAAAGGTAAATTGATCAAAAGAGAGAAATAGGCAGAAAATCTAGGCAGAGAGAGTTCATCATTCCTTTACCTCCACTTTCTCTACTCCTATTCCTCCTTCTCAGCATATAAACCAAATAAATGTAGTTTACCTCTCCGTGGCTTTCCAGATTATCAGCAGAGGGAGCTGATACCTGGAGCCTTTACCTGTTCTTAGACTAGTCAGCATTTTGTAGCACTTCTCAGGATGGCTGGATCTCACCACCTGTGAACTCACCTCCCTGGCTTGGGAGTTGGTGCTATGGTCGATTCAAAGTCTCACTATGAAGACCATTCTATTCTACAGTATTTGGAAGCCCTGATTGATCCATCTGTCTTTTGTCTTCTCTTTTGGTACTTTTTTCAATATTCAATCAGTAGAGTTTTTTTGTTTTGTTTTGTTTTGTTTTTAAGACACAGAGTCTCCATATATTGCTCAGGCTGGTCTCAAACTCTTGGGCTCAAAAGATCCTCCTGTCTCAGCCTTCTGAAAAGCTGGGATTATAGGTGCAGGCCACCAAACTTGGCTAAAGCTGATAGATTATTAAATGACAAAAACAGGGCCGGGCACGGTGGCTCACGCCTGTAATCCCAGCACTTTGGGAGGCTGAGGTGGGTGGATCACAGGGTCAAGAGGTCGAGACCATCCTGGACAATATGGTGAAACCCCGTCTCTACTAAAAAAAAAAAAAAAAAATGACAAAAACAAATATTCTACCTTGAATATGTATGGACTAATTAATTAAATCCCACAGTTAGAAGCAGCTTGATTCAAGCACATAAGCACATTTACTTGTTACTTTGTAACTAATAACATTATTCTTTCATCTCTGGATTGATTCTGGCCACTTATCACCTGTAACCATTGTTTAAGTGTTATATTCTGTGAGAAACCACTTTCCTCTTGAGATTCTCCCACTCCTCTCAGCCCTATGCCACAGTCAGTTCTGCTAGTTTCGATATACGGTAACTAGGTCAGTTCATAAAATACTCTGAGGAGGTCTGGCTCTTTCCTTCTGCTTCCTAGTAGTGATAATCATGTGGCATTTTTAGTCTGTTGAACTAAACGTGGGATTTTTCTCTTGAATTTGTTAGCTCAGCTATGGTAGTTTATTTACTTTTTATATTTTTGCTAACTTCAGGCACCAGAAGCTCCAGGAAGAAAAACATAAAAGCGTGACTGAGGCACTTAGGAGACGGGAGCAGAATATAAAGAGTTTTGAAGAGACCTATGATCAAAAGCTGAAGAATGAACTTCTAAAGTAATTGTTTAGCGTTTTTAAATAAGCAATATGTTTAAATTAAGTTGGTAGAAACATAACAAAAACTGACCAAGTAGTCTGTGACTTAGGCAAGCTTTAGTGTTTGGGGAAAAAAAACCATTTTTATCGATGTAAGTAATCCTTTCCTGCATTTGAGTTAGGATAATTTTTAAAAGTTAAGGGCTGGGCGTGGTGGCTCATGCCTGTAATCCCAGCACATTGGGAGACCGAGGCGGGCGAATTATCTGAAGTTGGGAGTTCGAGACCAGCCTGGCCAATGTGGTGAAACCCTGTATCTGCTAAAAATACAAAAATTACCTGTATGTGGTGGTGGGCACTTGTAATTCCAGCTACTGGGGAGGCTGAGGCAGGAGAATTGCTTGAATCTGGGAGGAGGAGGTTGCAGTGAGCTGAAATCATGCCACTGCACTCCAGCCTGGGTGACAGAATGAGACTCCATCTCAGGAAAAAAAAAAAAAACAAAAAAAAACACCACAGGAAACACATCCTCTGCTTTTCTTATGGCTTCTCTAACATTTATTGAGGACTATGATTTGCTTTAATTTTGAGGACGCCTTTGACTTGCTCAGCTTGCATAATTGATAAGCTGTAAAATTGGAATTATAACCACTTTTATCTTTTCCTCTACCTCATACACCCAAAGACATGGGAGTATCTAACGATATGTAAATTATACTTAGTGGTCATAGTATTTGTGAGTGAACATGTGTCTTGTATTTCTTCAAGACTGAGCAAAGCCAGAATCAAAAGAAAAGAGCCCAAATTAACTACGTGAGGCAAAAAGTGATAGAAGGAGAGGAAAACAGGACAACTGTGATTACTTTGACTTTTCTATAGTCTGAGCTTTGTGTATCAGTGAGTAATGTCTCAATGCTAAGACGTTAAGCCCGTGTGGTAACATTTCTCTTCAGTATGTGGGAAAGCACCTGACACATAAAACATGCTCAGTTAATATTTTTCGTAAATGTCTCACGAGGAAACGATTCAACTCAGGTGCTCTGGGCATTTCTTATTTGGCCTCTTGCCTTCCTTATAGTTTGTCATTGATATTTCAGTACATAATATTGCAGACATTTATTGGGGTTATTCTTTAAACAAATTCTATTTTTCAAAACAGCAGCTTTTTAATCTTGATTTTGAAATGATGTATTTTACCCACATCTATGTCCGTTGTATACTAAAATAGCTAAAATAGAAGCATCTGTAGTTGCTAAAGTTTTAGGAATAAATGAATTAAAGTATGTGTGTTAGTTTTACATAGTTATGGAGCCAGTGAACTATTTGGTATCATTTTGACAGCTTCCACAGGCTGCATGATGTCTGTCTGGCTTTGGGAATCCTCATATGACTTTGGCAAGTGTCAGACTTTGGAGGCTCTTCACCACAGGAGTGCTTCTTTTTCCTTTTGGAACCAAAAGGGCAGCTGGCAACAGCTGGGAAAGAGAAGAGAAACTGAATATGTGCCTTTTGGTATTACTAATCCAGATATAACGCTCTTGGCAGTTGGCTCTCTCAGCACTGCACTTAGTCCCTGAGCACAAAAGTTCTTACCTTGGTTGGGGGTGGGCAGATGGTACAGGTGGATTGGGAGTGACTGTCTGATTATCATTTGGGATTGAGTCTGTTGTGTGCTGTGTAAATTTACCCCTTTGCGTTTTATGTCAGTTGAGACCAACTGAAAAATGATTGCTTTCAGTAACCTTATGATAACATGACACTTCGTTCTGTGTGATTGAGTTTTGGGACCCAGTTTATAGGATTGAGGAAGGATCGTACTGGATATTTTATGTTCAGAAGTCATATCCCTGGCTTTAGTACTGAGGACTTTGAAGTTTACACATTGTCGTGTTCGGCGCCCTCAGGTGCTCCTGTGCCATAGATAAGCTCCTGCACTAATAACGGTCTTCCCAGAAAAATGACTGAAGAGCTCATATTCATTTAGTCATTCTGATTCTCAGGTATCAACTTGAACTGAAGGACAACTACATCATTAGAACTAATCAACTGATTGAAGTTGAAAGGAAGAATAAAGGTGATTTGGGGGGGGAATAAGCTGTATTTTTCCGTTCCGCTGTAGGTTATTAGCTTCCCAAGTTGGGTCTGTTCTATAGTCTAAAAAATACAGCTTATACTTCATTGTTCCTACAAAATTACACGTTTTTTTGTAATTTTAATTTTATAAATTAAAAAAAAATCATTGTCCTCACTGCCTTTTGCGAAACCTTCGTTTTTAATATTTTGTTTATTCATGAAGGCCAGTGATTTATCATGGATATTTTATCCAACTTTATTTCACATATTTTGATAAATCTGCAGTTGTCAGGAATGTAGCTCATTGCCATCAAGTACATATTACTCCTAACTATGAGATACTTTATTTTTCACTTATGGAAAATTTTAACTTCTCTGTCCCCTGTGACCTAGTTTCTTAATTCTTTTGCTTCTAATATATGTTTATGTTTTATAATATTTTTACATGATGTATACCTTCTGAACTCTTACATACATTGGCCTGAGACTATGGAAGTTGAAAATTTTTCAATCTTCAGATTTTTTATATTTCAGCGTATTTCTAGGAAATTGCTGTAACAAGAAATTGAAGTTTTGGTGGAAATTTCAAATAGATTCTTGGGAGTAAACCAGGGCTGGGTACTTGATGCTGACCAGATACCCGATGTGTGGCTCTACTGTCTTTTTTTTTTTTTTTTTTAAGACAGAATCTTGCTCTTTCTCCCAGGCTGGAGTACAGTGACGCAATCTCAGCTCACTGCAACCTCCACCTCCTGGGTTCCTCCGCCTCCTGGGTTCAAGTGAGCTAGCCTCACAACTAGCTGGGACTACAGGTGCACACCACCATGCGCAACTAATTTTTGTATTTTTAGTAGAGACAGAGTTTCACCATGTTGGCCAGGCCAGTGTTGAACTCCTGACCTTAGGAGATCCTCCTGCCTTGGCCTCCCAAAGTGCTGGGATTACGGGTGTGAGCCACCGTGCCCAGCTCCTTTTTACTACTATCTTGTGGAGACTAGTGCTTCTTTTTTTTTGAGACACTTTTTTGCTCCTGTTACCCAGGCTGGAGTGCAATGGCGTGATCTCGGCTCACCGCAACCTCCACCTCCTGTGTTCAGGCAATTCTCCTGCCTCAGCCTCCCGAGTAGCTGGGATTACAGGCACGTGCCACCATGCCCAGCTAATTTTTTGTATTTTTAGTAGAGATGGGGTTTCACCATGTTGACCAGGATGGTCTTGATCTCTTGACCTCTTGATCCACCTACCTCGGCCTCCCAAAGTGCTGGGATTACAGGCATGAGCCACCGCGCCCAGCCACTAATATTACTTTTATGGATTAGTACCATTATGTATGTAACAAATTATGTTTTGATGATATATCTACATAAACTTGTGTTAGATGAAATGAAAACTACAAAATAGTAACTACAATATAGTAACAGAGATCTTTCTCTTCAAGGAAGTGAAGAGCTTTAGGTATTAGGGCCTATGCTCTGAGCAGATGGCATAACTCTGGTTAGCACGTGTAGCAACTGGAATTTCACCACATACGTGACAGTTATAGCTTCACACAAACCTGTTGGGTAACAGGGTTTATTTCTTACTTGCCCATGAAAGTTTTGACCCTTTACATCTGCTATTTGGATTGTGAAATAGTGGTCATTAGGTCTGACATACTGGCCGTAAATATTAAATGGCTTTTGTACTCACTAGGAAAACATTATGGTGTTTAATTGGTGGACTCTTTCTTTCAGAAAAAGCTGCTCATTTGCAAGAGGAGCTCATAGCTATTAATTCAAAAAAGGAGGAACTCAGTCAGTCTGTAAATCGTATGAAAGAACTTGAGGTAATTATTAAGCATATTGTTTTTTGAAATAGATTTTAACCAATATATGAAATTTTAGTCATATATTGGTTAAATATATAGTCAATATATATGAAATATGTAAAATATGTAATTTATCCTAAGTCTTCCCCTTGAGATGTTTGGACTGCCATTTATATGGCTAAGAAGGTAATAACTGAAGTTAATTTGATAGTTCTTAATTTCAATCTATGTTACATAGGAAAGTGTAGATAGAGCTTTGGGTCCTAGAGTCCTGGTCAAATCCTATCTGTCTCTAACTGCTTGTGTGTCACTGGGGAAGTTCTGTGACCACAGGTTCCTGAGCTGTAAACTAGGATGTTTTCTGCATTATAAGGTTGTTGAGGGAATTCAGTGAGCTAACTTTGTGCCTAGTTCACAGCAGGTGGCCATTACTATTAGTTTCTACCTCAGACTGTTCTCTCCTTCCATCGGCAGCAGGTAAAAATTCTTGTCATTACATCGTTATCTTACAGATGCAAACAAAATGAGGTGCATTTTTTACATGCAAGTGCTGCTTTACTTTTCTGTCTATTCATGTGCTTGCTGTCTGAAGGGTGAAGCTGGAGCTTTAGGTACTTACAACATATTTTGTATATACAACTTGTTTTTGTAACTTTGACTTATGTGAGAACTTTGTAGGCTCTCATACTCAGATATGAGATATATTCTACTAAGAAAAGGGAAGCACTTCACAACATGTCACAGAATCTTTTTTTCTTTTCTTTTTTGAGACAGAGTCTTGTTCTTTCACCCAGGCTGGAGTGCAGTGGTGTGATCTCGGCTCACTGCAACCAACCTTCACCTCCCAGGTTCAAGTGATTCTCGTGTCTCAGCCTCCCAAGTAGCAGGGATTACAGCCATGTGTCACCGCACCCGGAAAATTTTTGTATTTTTAGTAGAGATGGGGTTTCACCATGTTGTCCAGGCTGGTCTCGAACTCCTGAGCTCAAGCTCTTGTCTCAGCCTCCCAGAGTGCTGGGATTACAGGCATGAGCCACCATGCCCAGCCATTTTTATCTTACCTTTTCATATTTTAAAAATATATATTGCTATGATTTGTGATAGTTGTTGGGTTATTGGTTGCCTCTGGAAAATGGGATAATAATCTTAGAAGGACTTGCTTTATGGGATGGGGCCTATAAAACTTCTGCCCCAACTCTAGGACACAAGATGATTTTTATTATTAGAGTTAGAATCTTAATGCAGAGAATCAGACTTCTGTCCAGTGACCTTAATTAAATTGTGACACCATGCTTAAAGGAGCCTGGCCGTTTTACTTTTGCAGTACCGTAAAGTCATTATTGAAATGTTAATTGTCCTTTTTTAATTTTAGCTTGAGTTAGAGTCTGTCAAAGCCCAGTTTTTGGCAATAACAAAGCAAAACCATATGCTAAGTGAAAAGGTTAAAGAGATGAGTGATTATTCACTACTAAAAGAAGAGAAACTGGAGCTTCTGGCACAAAATAAATTGCTTAAACAACAACTGGAAGAGAGTAGAAATGAAAACTTGCGTCTCCTAAACCGTATGTTTTTTTCTGATTTCCATGTTCTAGTAATTAGTATTAGGTCAGTATTACAACACTGTGCTTTGTACTTGTATGAGCGGGGGGCTTAAAAATTTGGGAAGATTTATAATATTAAGATTCTTGGATTAAACTGCAAACTTGCCTCTAGGTGGTATCAGGGCTTACCTTGCCCTCTGACTGCTGATTGGGTTTGACCAGTGGGGACACCAGCCTCTCTACATACAGTGGCCCTAGGCTGGCCTCTGCACTTTACTGCCAAGTGAGGTTATAATGCCTGTGATGACCTCTTCTCAGTGCTCTGCACCACCTCCCTCTCTCCAGTGCTGAGAATTTCTCCCTCCCCTGATCCTCCAGGCCTAAACAGTGCTAACAGTGTGGCCCTGTACTAGCCCAGGGAACTCCACCATCCTTTGTGTATATCCGGAATAAGTCAACCATTATTAAAGGGTTCTTAGATGACCTTGATTGTGGGTGCCATCTGCTTTTTGCCTGGATCCCAACTGCTGCTTTCAGATGCCCAGATCCTATTGGATCCTGCTGTCATCAACAGGTAGACCAGATAGAGAGTTACTTCTATGCATGGTAGAGGAGAGAAACCGGCTTTCTGGTTAATTTGAGGATTTGAAAGAGTTCTTTTACTTGGAGTAGGACTCCAAGGGTAAAAAGTTTGCATTAACATGCACTAAATTCTTTTGTTGTGAAATTTGAGAGTCAGGATTGCTCTGAGCTCATTTAATAGAATTAATATCAAATTAATTGCGTGAGTACACAGCAAAGTAACACTTTAAAACCCCTTTCTTTAACTGTTTTTGTTAAGTGAAATAAGAAAACTAAGGGTTGATAATGATTAGGGTTTTTTTTTAACCTTCTTAGGCCTAGCTCAGCCAGCTCCTGAATTTGCAGTCTTTCAGAAAGAACTGTGGAAAGCAGAAAAGGCTATAGCAGTTGAGCATGAGGAGTTCGAAAGCCGTAGGCAAGCTCTGCACAAACAGCTGCAAGAGGAAGTGAGTATTGGTCTTCTTCAGTTCCCGTATGATACCAGTACACTTCAGAGGTATGTAAACTTGGCACAAGTCACACCAGTGGAAATCAGATTTACTGTTACATCAAACATTACTCCCCCAAATATATTAAAGGTATCCTTTCTCATCTGAGAAAATTCTGCAGTGATAATATGATTCGATATTTGTAATAGTAATAAAATGGAGAAAGCAAACTCACCTAAACATAACATTCTTTGAGTGCCTGAAGGTACCCATTGTTATCTCTAAATTCTCACCCTGGGAAGTATTACAAACATTCACTGTGTCTTCTGATTTTTGCCTGCATGCCCTAGAGTTCTTAGATATAACTGAAAAAGATGGTGAAAAACTTGCGTGTTGTGTGTGTGTGTGTGTGTGTGTGTGTGTGTGTGTGTGTGTTTTTAATAGGGACCCTGTTGTTTCCTGTCATAAAGCTTCTTGGAATTGGCAGAACAAAAAGAGGACAAGCATGTTAAGAGAACTTTTCCTTTTGAAGCAAACTGTGATTTGTTTTACAGATCTCTTTTCCTATTCTGAATCTTTTCAGATCAAGCATTCTACACAGCTGAGGACCCAGATACTAGGTTACAAAGTTTCCATAAAGAGGTTAACTACTCAGGTTGCTGATTTAAAATTGCAATTGAAGCAAACCCAGACAGGTTAGAGACATTTTAACCCATAAATGCTTTTGTGTGTATATAGCTTCTGATGTCTGTGAAAATGTAATGATCATAATTTATTGAATATTGAGTAATTAATGTGTTAGGGGAAAACCCATAGAAATATGTGTCATCTTAGAAGTAAAACTCCCTATCCATTTTGATAATACCATCTGGATCATCAGCAAAAGTGACTTGCTTCATCGTAGGTTTCTCATGACTTGGGAGAGCCTCATGCCCGAAATAGGAAAGGTATGGTGGTGACATAGAAGTCCCTACATTCATCCTAGGATTTCCTTTTTTATTTGTTACCACAATGTTACCACCAATTCAGTAGTTTTACAGATTCCTTGATAGATATATAAACATACAGGAGAAGCTGGGTGGTTTAGCAAAAAAACATTGCCCTCAGAATCAGAGAACTGCTCTTGTTTTAGATCCCAGTTTTGAAGTGTTGAAGTTGTTTGACCTTGGGTATGCTACTTTAACTTCCTTGGGCCTCAATCTCCTCATTTGTAATGGGGATAATAATACCTGCTGAGCCATGATGAAAGAGATGAAATGAGATGGGTTTCAATCGAGTGCCTAGGACATAAAAGACACTCAGGATGGTTATTGGTATCATTTTATTATTGTGTCTTCACTGTGGATGCATCTCTGCCCCTTCCTACTTTGTAAGAAAGATACTGAAGTTTAGATACTTTATTCTTCAGTTGCTTTCAAGCTCAGAGAAAGTGCATGTGTTAGCAGTTTGGCTCCGTCTGAGCCTTCCTCATTCCTTCCTGCACTCTTTCCTCATCAGCTCCTTGCTCTCTTCTACCAGCACTTGTTTTATTTTTATCTCTACTCATTTCTACTTTTTTCTGTTCCTCATTTTCTTTCAATTCTGTTTAGCAAAACTTCTTACAGCTGAAATCATAACAGTCTCCTATCAACAAAAAATAGTTGAATGAGGATAGAACCCTTTTGCATGCATGCATTGCTGAAGGCAAGCTTCTCTCTTGTAGCATCATAGAAATGCATTGCAGGAGAGTGGGGCACATGCACTGGTTTTGCATTAGGAAAGCCCAGTACCTCTTGGACCTGCTAGCCATGTAACCCAGCCTCAGTAAGCTTTAGTCCCCCATCTGGAAAATGGGAGCAGTGAGAGTTCCTTGACCACAGTGTTTTTGTGAATGCAGGTCTTCACTCCCTTATATGAAACTCGGTCCATGTGCTATGGATTTCACAATAGCCCTGGGAGTTCTGAACAGCATCCTGTAGTAAAACACGTTAATTCTTTTACAGTCATCTGTGTGAATATTCATCCTGGGATAAATAAAGAGTATAAATGGGTTTACATCAGTTCAGGTCAAACTTTTCAGCCAAATGAGTTCAAGTCTGGTTAGGCTTTGCCACCAAATTATGAATAAATTTTCAGTTCTCAGAGCCTGTGGATTTCAAAATTGTACATAATGGATTCTGAAATTATATCATGTTACAAAAGACATGAAGCTATAGCTGGTATAATAAGCTCTCAGTAAATGTTAGTGGTTATCATTACCATGGCTTCAGAAACCATTTAATGTGCAAGTTTGTCCTTATTGCTCTCTTCCATTTTTCAAAAAATAATACTCAAGTATATTAATTTTTTTCTCTGCCTTGTCTACTCACTTTTGAAATTGGCTTTTTGTACTCTGCAGCCCTAGAGAATGAAGTCTACTGCAATCCAAAGCAGTCTGTGATCGATCGTTCTGTCAGTGGATTAATAAATGGCAACATGGTGCCTTGCATTGGTGAACTAAGTGGGGATTTCTTGAACAATCCTTTTAAACAGGAAAACGTTCTAGCAGGTATGGTTGCATCAGGGATCACAAATTATCCAGATGCAGGGGTGGAGGGTAGTTCCCCAGATTCTGAGCTTGAGTTTGTAGCCAATGCTAAGGCAAGGGTCAAAGAGCTTCAACAAGAGGCCGAAGGCTTGGAAAAGGCTTTCAGAAGTTACCATCGGAGAGTCATTAAAAACTCGGCCAAAAGCCCACTACCAGCAAAGAGCCTACCATCTCTGCATTTGCTGGAACCCTTCAGAAATACTACTTTCAGTTCTGCGGAAAGACATATTTTTGCAGAGGACAGAGTTGTCTCTGAGCAGCCTCAAGTAGGCACATTTAAAGAAGAAAGGAATGACATCTTGGAAGCACTGACAGGCAGTGCAGCCTCGAGGCTATGCAGGGGCACTTCCTCCAGACGCCTCTCCTCCACACCTCTTCCAAGAGCAAAAAGAAGCCTTGAAAGTGAAATGTATCGGGAAGGTAAGCCACCCACACAAAGGGGTTGCAGGGTGCTCTGGAGTTGCGTAGCCACCCCGCCCATGACACAGGGTTGCTGTGAGGGTCAGCGGGACAGAGTGGCAAAGTCTAGTGTTTGCTTGGCACACAGAGCTGTTTAGGGAGTGATGGTTGCTTTTCCTTTGCTGCCGGTTGGTTTCATACATTTTATTATTGCCATTGCAATTTAATTTAGGTGCTTGAATCATTAGTTTTGTGGATCTTGTGCATCATGATTGGCTATTTGTGAGGATAACAATTTATTTTCACACTAATAGAGCTCTTTAGGAACCACATTAGTATCTTTTCCGTGCAGTTGGTAATGTTCTTGTCTTGGTTCTTTCTGCCCCTTAGGTCTGGGCAGATCACACGTTGCTTCCCCGAGTCCTTGTCCTGACAGAATGACCCTGCCATCACCCACTGAGTCTAGGCACAGCCTCTCCATCGCTCCCTTCAGCCCTCCAGAGCAGAAAGCAGGGTAAATACAACGTTCTGATTGATTAGCTTCAGCTGAATCATGTTACTTGCTCTGTCAGCCTTCACTTGTTTTACTGGGATTTTTTTTTTTTTAGATAATTGTTACAGATCATATGGCAGTATAGAATTTGCAATGAGATTGCAAAATGATGTGTCATCTTTGAGACTCATCTAAATTACCTGGAGGGAAAAGGATTGCTTTTAGTAAATAAGTAGATAATGCTTATTTGCTAAAGTTGATATAGAGACCATACAATCTGGTATTAATAAGCATCTTCCTAGTTCTGTGAATAGATTTGGTTTATTAAGATAAAAAAAATGTATAAAATCTGAGAGCAAACAAATGGAGGTTATTTCTAAAGTTGGAACAATTTTACACATCATTAAACAGTCATTTAAAAATATTTTGGCATTGAGGTATAAAAAGATAAGGTTCTGACTTGCATGTCATTGAAATAAATTCCAATAAGGGGGGTCTGGAGTATGATTGTTGAAACAGGAAGGAGTGGATGTTTTTAGAAACTAGGCCACTGGGTCAGCAGGCTGTGATTTGAGTCATGAGCAGAGCAGACTCCTACCCATACCTGGGCCCCACAGCAGAGAGAACTGATTCCTTAGTTCTGGGCTCTGCATGTTAATGTAGTTCTCTGCTACATGTGCTTCTCTCATGGTCCTAAAGCTTTTTTTTTTTTTTTTTCCTGGATAAGCCAAAAGGAAGAGTAAGACACACGCGTAGGCTGAGTTAGGGCACTTTGCTCACTCAAGATTGTGGTATTGCATCTTCAGCTGGTTCAGGCTGATAGTGTGCAGAATTTTTTTCAGAAATGTTTTATGGTTAGTAAAAAACTAAACTAGGAATAGCATTCAGAGTATAACATTTTTTGTTAACAACTGTAGTACCTACTTCACAGCATGAAATAGTTACAAGGAGTAACTGAGTAAACAGGTGTTAATTGCTGAGAACAATGCTTAGTGGTGGCGGTGAGGTGGAGCTATTCTTTACAACACAGAGAGGAAAGGAATTTTGTCGGGCATATTCTAGAGTCACAAAAGGCTTTTTGTCACCTTGTGCTCTTGGGTTTTCTGTTATTAAAACTGCACATTCACGAGTTTTATCCTTCCATTCTAGTCTTTATCAGAGACAAACTGAACTTCAAAACAAAAGCGAATTTTCAGATGTGGACAAGCTAGCTTTTAAAGATAATGAGGACTCTGAATCATCTTTTGAATGTAAGTTCAAAAATAAGTACCAGTTTATATAAGTTGAAAATCTAGAAAGCTTAGTTTTGGTGAAACCCTCCATTGGTTTAAAAAGAAAAGCATTTACAAATTGGGACATTTTTATTTTGTGATACAATCACAAGTACAGATGTATCACTTCATTTTTCTGTCATGAAGATTTGCATCGGCTTGTCTGCTTTTTTAACATTTCAGTATGACTAATAATTTCAGAGTTTGAGCTAAGCTTATAAATGAATTTTTAACTTGTCAGATTTTTTAAATTATCAGGTTTTAAATAAGTGATTTTTCTTTATTTTTTCCTTTTTATGTAATACAAGAATGGTTGTTTTTATTTTTTGAGATGGAGTCTTGCTCTGTTACCCAGGCTAGAGTACAGTGGCTCAGTCTCAGCTCATTGTAACCTCCCTCCACCTCCTGGGTCCAAGCGATTTTTCTGCCTCAGCCTCCCGAGTAGCTGGGACCACAGGCGCACGCCACCATATCTGGCTGGGTTTTAAAATTTTTTTTTTATTTTTAGTGGAGACGGAGTTTCACCATATTGGCCAGGCTGGTCTGGAGCTCTTGACCTCAAGTGATCCGCCTGCCTTGGCCTCCCAAAGAGCTGGAATTACAGGTATGAGCTACCGCACCCAGCTTAAGAATGTTATTTTTTAAATTTACTGATTCTGTTGATTGCCTAAGATATAGAAAACCTCATTTTTAGTGAAAGAATGGAGATAAAAGAATATTAAGAGTCCAGAAAGTGGTGTCCTGGCTATGGCCCTGCCTTAGACTCTCTTACTTTGTCGCCACTTTGTAAGTGTAAAATGAGCATGTAGAGCCTATCATCTCTAAGGTTCTTTCCAGCTTGAAAAATCTTTATGTTTGTATATAACCTATTGGTTAGCCTTGTAAACGTCATCTTCAAATCTGAAAATATCATATTTTGAACAGTTAAATTAGAGGGCTTAGTAAATTTTGTGAATATTTGTTAAAGTCTTTGTGTTAAATCATTGATATTTCAGTAGAATTCAAATGATTATCAGCAAGCCAATTGAATTCTTCACTGTCACTGGGTTAATTTTCCTGTTGGGTAACGAGTCCAATTTTGTCAACAAAGTTAATTCTTGCAAGTACAAGAACACTTACAAGCAAGTACTGTGGCAAGTAGTTATGTCGGGAATGTCATAGAATCCCGTTAGGAAAGGGCGCACACAGATACTTTGGCTGCAATTCCTGTGCTCCAGTCAGTTGCCCCACACTGCACTGCCCTCCTTTGTCTTGCTGTTATTATTAAGGACTCATGGGACAATTGTTTTTTCCTCATGAAGATGCAGGGAACGTGCCAAGGCAGTTTGAAATGGATGGGCTCTCTCCTGCGGGGGATATGCCTCCTGTGGGCACTGATGCAGCTGCTGAGCCCCTCTCATATCAGCACCCAAGTAAGTTCTTTTTTTAACTAACAGCAGGGTCGCATACTAAATACCAGTCCATGTGCTCTGTGAATTATTTCATGTATCACTGAGGTCTTCTTTTAGGTGTAAATTAGTGAAAATCTTGGGTTGGGGGTTATAGTGTTATTATATTGTTAATGACATTTCTGAATTCCATGTGAACATGTAGAGACAGTGCTGAGGAAAGGACGCATTGCAAGGAAAGTCTTCTCATTTAGCCTCCCCAGGCCAGTTGCTTACAAAGTGTTTCCATTAATTCTTCAGTGTCTGGCATAGTAGTTGGACTTTTCCCCAAGACTCTTCTGCAAAAGCTATTCTGTGGGAGCCTTATCATCTTGGGAAATCACGGTGAAAAATTGAAATAAGAGTTAACTCCCATCATATATCTTTAATGTAATTGTAACATTTAAACATTATTTCTTTTTATCTACTTGTTTCCTTTGTGTCTTAAGAAATTAGGACAGAAAAACTTTGTATTTCAATCTTTGGAAAAGCTGTGATGCTGAGTTAGCTTAGCACTAGAGGAAAACTGGCCATCAGATTCCTCTTGTCTGGCTCACTTTCTCTCTCCTCTTTTCCTCCAGATTACCCTCTTCCCTCACTGAGGGTGGAGGGAGATGGGAAGAGAGATATCAGAGCTTTGTGATTTGTTCCAGGGCTCAGCCAACAGCCAGGTCCTTTTCTTCTTGGACCAGTGTTTAATCCTCAAATCTGAAAGGAATTTTCTCAAGTAAAGCCACCTCTTAGTCCCTCCCAAACACTGCAAAAATATCATACCCAAACATATCCAAAACCTCTTGGTTTTAGTCATGGTACTCAGGAATGTGTGGAATTACTGAAAGAGGCAAGAGATTTTGAGAGGGTTGATTTTGCTGATTTCATAGTAAATCTGCTTTAGAAAGCACTCAGTGAGACTTGATTTAGAGCCTTATCTCTGCTAGGCACTTTGCTCGGGGCTGAGCATATAGCCGAAGCCCTCGCCTTCCTGGATTTCTAGTGAGGGAGGCAGATGGTCAGCAGACCTTCACTCACGACTGCAGCAGGGAGGGGCTGCAGCAGCTGGGCAGGGGCCGCAGCCACGGGAGGGAATGTCTACAGGCAGCTGTTTGGCACAGACCTGAGTGAGGAAATACAAATAATGTGATAGGGTAAGGGAAATTAACTGAGTAACTAGGTGTTCTGCCTCTGAGATGGAATTTAGATTTTAATACTACTGCCTTTAAAAATTATTAAGCAGCATGGTGAGTGACATTTTGGTTATTGAGAAATCGTTATATTCATCATTTCACCTCTTCATCTGGGCATAAAAGGAATTCAGAAAGGCAGAAATTTGGTGTCTAGGAAGTGCCCATTGGACATGCTTCCTTTCTTTCCCTTTATGTCCAAAGAGGTTTCTGTATACCACCCTGCAGCTACAAAATATACACCAGAGCAGAGAAGCAGGTCACTCTTCCTCTTTATTTTTTAATTGGTGCTTAAGCAGCATTCCTATTTTGAGATTACTATTCCATATAAGAAAGCGATCTTTTTTAGGAGTAACCATTTTTTCTTCTAGGAAGGAGGAAGTTGCATTTATGCCTGTGGAAGTGATCAACTGTCTCCTCTGGTATTTTAATTTCATGAGAAGGATTCAGAAGAGATGGTGGGGGGCGGGGGGGAGAAAAAACTGTTGCTTCTCTCCTATTAGTAAAACTCAGTTCCTGCTGATGACTTTAGAACAAGACACAGCAAAAAGGTTCAGGTCCTCTGCTAAACCTATGAGTTTTTCTGCTTATTAGCATTGCTTGGGTTTCAAAAAAAATGTAAGTTATGGGTCAGAGCCAGAAGAGAAAGGTCAGCATAATTGTCTCTGGGATTGGGGTCTAATTAAACCTTTGAGATGTGGGGACCTGTGCCAAGATGCAGAGGGAACAGAGAAGTAATTAAAATAGGGGCCTTGCCTGGAAGGAATAGAAGTGAAAGAAACCAGTGCTTGTAGTTTTTGACAAAGCAGGTACAAAACATCATGCAAGTAAGATGTTGGAGTGGTTACTTGTCACTTCAGGAATAAGGAGGAGGTGGCATTTCAGTCGGGTCTTGAATAGCATTTTAGGCTTTGTGAGAGGAAGAGAGTGCTACAGGCTGAGGAGACAGTGAAGGCAAATGCCGAGCAAGGAAGATACAGCTATGGCCAGGCCCCAGTGAGTGGGTTGGTACAGATGAAATAGTTCTAGTACAAAGTTGATAGTGATGTAGGAAATCTATCTGGGAAGAAAAAGGCATATTGTCAGAGCCCAACTACCATGGCATTGGACTCTAGATCCACATCTTCCCCTGAGGAAATGCCTGGTGAAGACGGCCACAGGTTGTTGGAAGGCAGAGACTGGCTGCAGGGAGAGCCTTGACTGGGCTGTTTCAGTAGCCCAGGGAGATGGCGAGAAGGGCCCATTGCAGCCACAGAACAGGGTATGTGAACCTGCGAGTGCTGGTGGCTGAGTGGATGGAGGGTAGAAAGAGCATGATCAAAGGACTGGGATGATCATGCCTGGGAGGAAGCTAGTGCTGGGGTTTCCACATGCGGATGGCAGGGAACTATCCGAAATACGGAGAGAGGCTAGGGAGAGAGACCAGGAGTAGAGGAAAAGATATGGAAGGGATCCATATACAAGTGATCACTAAAACCCCAGGAAGCGCTGCCATCAGTTTGGAGGAAGTGGGGAATGAACAGTGAGATGGCTGGAATGGCCGGGGGAGGGCAGTGGGAAGATTTCTCTTCTGTTTTGTTGGGGTAGGACAGACGTGAGCAGCTCTATGGGAGTAAGAGTTCTAAAACTGTGTACAGAAACGGATTAATGGCTCAGTCAGGGTCCTAAAGATAGGGGAGGGATTATAATCAAAGGCAGAGGCAGAAATGCAGGGTTTGCCTTGGAAAGAAGGGAGGAGATCTGGAAGAGGATGAGAACATGTGACATGAAGGAAGGACAGTTGGAGTTGGTCATGGTGGGGGTGACTTGTATTCGCCTCAGTCAAGTGAAGTAGGGTGCACTTCAAGGAGTTGGGGGCTTGAAGTCAGTGAAAATGAAACAGTAACTTGAAGCAGGTCAAGGAGTCAACTAAAAGTCAAGCAGAGTCTCCGTGGGTCTTGGCAAGGACTCCTGCAGACTGGTCTTGCATTCATTTAAACAATCTGATACTGGAAGCTACTCTTTATTTTCTGTCCTATTAGGTATAGATCAAAAACAAATTGATGAAAAGGAAGAAGAGAAAATACGGGAACAGCAAGTGAAAGAACGAAGGCAGAGGGAAGAAAGAAGCCAGAGTAACCTACAAGAAATTTTAGAAAGGGAACGAAGAGAACTGGAAAAACTGGATCAGGAAAGGGTAATAAGTATGACTCGATTCTCTATACTGGTTGCTCCATTTTACACCTTTCTTAAGTACATTGAGCTCAGGGAGGGGAGTCAATTTGTGTCCAAAGTCAGAGGAGAGGTAGGTGCCTTAAAAGGTGCCCTCTCCTCTCCTTGTCTTACAAGCAGTGAGAAAGGCTGCATCCAACATGCAGCTTAGGAGTTTTGTAGTAAAGAATCGTTTTTGAAGGTAATTTTTATACATTCTCATCTGATCCTTAAAATAAGCCTGTAAAAAAGGTAGACTGTGGTTTGCTGCAGAACTTTGCTTTGAAAACAGGGTTTAAAGAGGCTGTCCATGTCAGCTAGCTGGGACTAGAAGAACCCAAGGGAAGAGGTGGCTGCCAGTCTACAGTTGCTTCCAGGGGCACACACTGCCTCCCTCCTTCCTTTAGATTTCTTCTTGCCTTCTGTGTCCCGATTCTGGTCCTAGCAGATGGATTACTCTGTCACTTAACACACTGCTAAGTCTTGCTTCAATTACTCTAACATAGGAATGGCCTTGGACTCCTGGTTAATTCAGATCTAACGCCTAGGACACTTGCAGATTAATCCATTCATTCAAATGACATATTTGTCTTCCTTTGATGATAGCAATTACCTAGTTCTCTGGCACACAGGCTGTACTGAAAGGATCGGGATTATATTAGTGCATTTTTAAAACACTTAAAAGTTTTACAAATGTATCTATGTATTTTGTTTTGGTGCCCGTTTTATAGAGGATGCCTGACAAATCAGTGAAGATTGAAATGGAAAATGAATTAGAAATGAGTAATCAAGAAATGAAAGACAAATCTGCTCACAGTGAAAATCCTCTAGAGAAATACATGAAAATCATCCAACAGGAGAAAGACCAGGAGTTGGCAGATAAGGTGCCAATGCCATGGGCAGGGCAATCTGTGGGTAGGGGACACCCAGGCCTTCCATGATTTAACTTCTTGAGACAGGAATCTGTCTTCCCCGTTGAAGACAAAAATGTGAAAAGCATAGAAAATCCAAAGTTCAAATGTAACGAGTCTTTTAAATATATTACTCCTTTGATGAGAATTCATAGCTTTTTTGCTTAAGGTAAAAGATTTCAGAGATTTTCATTTGTAAAGGTTGGGGTGGCTCATTATTTTAAGAACAAGAAAGATCTATCATATAGCAGATGCATGAGTACTGACATTAATATTTTATATAAGTCTGAAGTACTATGGGTGTTAAATGCATACCCTATAGTTTATTTTGATGTGCTTGCTTAAATTTCATGTTTAAAAGTCACCTCTTTTTTAGACTTTTATATATTTCAAAAATGGTTCTTATAAGTATTTCATAAAATTAATGCATATCTAATTTCAAAATTCTTCCCCCTCCCACCCCCATGTAATCAGAGCTCACAAAAGATGGTCCAAGAAGGCTCCCCAGTGGACACGCTGCAATCTAGTGACAAAGTCGAAAGGTATCTGGTTTCCCCACACACTGTTTCATACACAAACTGTTAATTGCTCATTTTGTCAGCCAAGAGAAATGGTTAAATGTTTGAGACTGCCTGTAAAGAAGTTATTGAATCAGTCAAAATTAGTAACTATAAAAACAATTGCGTTTTTTAACTTGTGAAATTGATCCTGATATAAATTGTAAGCTAGGGCAGAAACCCCCCAGGGAAGGAAGTGAGAACATTATGAAGATACCAAATAAACTTGACACGAATTTTTTAAATTTTTATACTTAAATTTTTCTCTTTCCCTGATTTAGTTTAACAGGCTTTTCTCCTGAAGAACCAGATGACTCTTGGTAACTCTGTTTGCTGCCCAGCTTCTAACTTACATACCATGAGAAGTTACATAACATTTACTCCTTTGTAAATGTTTATCATCAGACAAAACTCGCAATAAAAATGTGTGTAATCCAGTGTGGGTTTTTTTTTTTTTCCATAATTATATTTGATATTGGAGTATATGAACCAAGAATAGTCAAGTGAAACCCCTTCTCCAGTCATAGAATTTCTCATTCATTATACTAAAAGGAGCTGGAGTTTTTTTAACCTCCTTATTTTTGTCTTAAATTTTTAAATGGGTATTGGTCAATTCCAGGCTTACATTTTGGAAGTTTAAGCTGTGTTCTTTCCTATCCAAAGTTGGGCTGCCACCTGTAAAAAGGAGGTCGTTTTTCCCAGCCCACTCCTGTTTTCTCCCTGAACATAAAAACAGATTTTTCTCGGCATTAGAAATAGTAAGATATTGCCTCTGGTCTTTACTTTTGACATCTGTGGCTTGAATGTATGTGTCCCTCCAAAATTTATATGTTGGAATTTAGTTCTATCACACTGGAGGTGGGGGGAATTAAGAGGTGGGGCCTTTCACAGGTGACTAAGAGTGGCATTAGTGACCTTATAAAAGGGCTCAATGGAACTAGCTAGGTAGGCCCTTTTGCCCTTCCACCATTTGAAGACACTGCACTGGTCCCCTCTGGAGAACACAGCAACAAGGCATCATCTTGGAAGCAGAGACCAGGTCTTCACTAAACGTCCAACCTGCCAGTTCCTTGATCTTAGACTTCCCAGCCTTTAACTGTAAGTAATACATTTCGGATTTTTATAAGTTACCTAGTCTAAGAAATTTTGTTCTAGCAGCAGGAACAGACTGAGATAGCATCTTGATTGTGGAACAACCTTTGGTCCTCATACTTAATGAATGGGCTTCAAGTATTTCATTTGTTTTTAAATGATTGGGCTCCTTCCCTATAATTGACTTCATTTTTATCTCTTAAAAATCAAATTTTGCAAGGCAGAACTGGAAAATCTCTACTCAGCCCTCTAGAGGGCCCTAGGTTTTGTGGCAGGATCACTGTGGATAATTAAGAGGGTGCTTGTGATTTTAACCATTATTTACAGTTTCCTCTGGTGACTCATGTGACTTAATTGCACAAAATGCTACTTAAACAGAAGACACTAAGTAGTGTGACAAATAGCACACTAATTGAGCTCCTGATTGTTTTCCTGCCATGCGTGAAAGGGTGATGATCCAGAGTCAGCACCTCATTTAGGAATGGCCATATGTCAATAGTGACAAAGGCTGGGCCTCACTAAGAAAGGTCAGATGCTGAGAATCAGATGCATAATCATGTTGACAGATAGGAGTTTAAGCAGATTATAAAATAAAATCCTAAGTAACATTTAGCTCTGCTTCTCTAGAGAGTAACTGTTAGAACTAGGTTTTTCTATATTCCTGAGTGAATCTTTCAATAGACTTTTGTACCTTTGGTTTGAAAAATAACTGCACACAGGCCCTTATTTTGTTTCTACTTTGCCCAAGTTTAAACCTTGTTGATCCCATAGGTAGATGGTGTTTATTTGTTAAAAAACTAGTCAGAAAAATTCTTCCTTTATACAGAGAACTACAGAAGTGCTAGTGGCAATTCTGTGCCCAATATAGCCCAGTGGATTATAATATTATAAAGAGATTTTTGCTAGAAATAAAACAAGTAACACTCGGACTTGAGTTCCATACCAACGTGAAATCTTGACTATGCACATTATTCAAAAGTGACCCCATACTGAGAACAAAGGATTTATGTATGGTAAAAAGGCAAGTGAATGAAGCTATAATTTTATTTCATTACTCTTAGTACATCCACAACTATTTCCACCTAAATCTTTAAAATAAGCATACACAAGTATTGACTATTATCTACAAATATTTATTGTAACACTTGAATAGAACTACAGGAAGCCCTTGGCACTGATAGAAAATATTGATTCACTGTTAGGTTACAAAAATTTATACATAGCAAAATTTAATGCTCTTTACATAAAAAATATTAGACTACTTAAAACTTTCAAAAATTCCTGGTAATAGCTACCAGAATTAGAAAAGTAAAATTAGGCTTTAGACACTGCCTCTTCTACAACACTGGACTCTGACAGCACCTCCACTGCTGGAAGAATAGTTAAATCTGTCATGCAACAGGAAAACAAAACACTAAGCTATTTCGGAACAACCGTTCTACACAGAAGAGAGCTTGTCTCAATTAAAAAAAATCCCAAATAGGCATTTTTAGGCATTAACCAAAAAAAAAAGAATCCAAATGAAATATTATACTTGATGTTCAATTTTAATAGCATCTTGATAAAGGTATGCTTCCTTTCATTTGAATACATTTCTGCATATGTATATGTTATAAAATCCAGGAAACAGCCAAACCACAAGTTAACTCTTAACAATGAATATACATAGTTAACCCTATAGTAAGCAGCCCCTTTGAAAAGCACTGATGCACCCAATAGTTATATGGATCATTTCATAAAGAACAACACAAAGTTTACCATCACTAATACCCAGTACCTATAGTCACTTAATGTTCTGGAACACAATAATGATGTAGAAGGCAAGTTTCTTTTGAAAATGGCTTAAACTCAAGCAGTTTTCCTGCTGAACATCAAACTTTATTATTCCAGGAAATTAAGATTTAGATAAGAAAAAATGAAAACTAACCCTAATTTAAATTACTTAAGTATTCAAGTCTATAAAAGGAGGTTAGAGGTCTGTGGTCAATTTGTAATTAGGTTTTCAATAGTTGGTATGAAACTGTAAACTTACTATCCAGACCACAGAAAAATGGTTTAGAATGGTGGTCATTTTAATAAGGTAACACTTCTTAAGAAAAACATTTATGGAACAAAATTCTGTGAAAGATATTTGGGTCTCTGGTTATGATATAAATTCTTAGAAATTTAAAGCAAATACTCATTAAGGCAGAGCTGACATTTATTTCCCATGAATAATGAAAATGATCAGTATTTTGATAAAATGCTATATAAAATTGCTTCTGGAAAGCTTGTCAATGAGTCAGATTCTTTTATAGTAGGGTCAGTGGGATTGTAGCTAATTTTAGCATTATTGAAAAATATATTTGTGATTGGCTCAGGAAATTAATGGGTCTTATACTTGGGAGGGAAAAGCTAATTTGAAAAGTCAGTCATAAGAATCAGGTTAACTTTGAGCCAAAGTTTAATAAATGTCAGCTGTCAGAAATAGAACTTCACACCACACATTTTACATAAATGAAATAAAATTCCATTTTGTTTCCTATGTAGGTAACACTTAGAGCACAGATGTCCAAAAATATATGAATTTATGGTCTTATCCCTTGATGCTGGCATGTCACAGGTCCCCATCAAAGAGTGTGACATATTCCATTGAATGTCTTATTAGAATAGCTCTAGCAATAAATGTGAACATGCCACAAATTCCCAAAGTATGAACGATCATTTTGTCAAAGTGTTGCCTTTTAAAATGTCTAACATGAAACCTCCAATATTTGCTCTAAAGAAAAAGATTTACCCACTGGAAGGTTTTCCTAGAGATACATCCCAGCAGCTTGAGACAGACAGTGAAGTGTTTGTACATCTACATTAGTTTGGTGGGATACACATCTGTACTGCAGAGCAGCTGATGATTTGTCAGAGCTGTAAATACGTCGCTGAAACACTCTGGCAAACATTTATGTGTAAGAATTGAGTTGTTCTTTTGACCGAGACTGGATATCTTGCAGTTCCTGTTCTTCCTTTGCTTTGATATCCTGGTAAGCCTGCATTTTGCTCGCATCCTTTAAGTAAGCCCAGTTAGAAGACAGTATCATGAGGAAGTGGATCTGGAAGAGAAGGGTGAGCATGATGGCTAGTGAGCATGTAAGAAGGCAAAGCGAGGCGCTAGTTAGATTAGACGGACTTGACTTTAAAGGGGGCGAAGGTTATTCTGTATTAATACTCTCTCTACTAGCAGAGCTGTCAGATCCTGTAAGCAAGCTCTACTAGTTGGCTTTGCATTAAAAGGCTGAAGAAAAGTTAGTAGATAAACATAGTGAACTGGAAAAATAGTGGCCAAAGGTATTGTTAAGAAAAAGCAAAAATGAAATATGAGAGGGTGCTTCTTTACCATTTAGAGAGTAATTTTAAAGACCAATGCAGAAGTTGAGGAACACAGTGTATATTTTAAATAAGTGTAGTATGTGCAAACACATTTTCTACCTGTGGATAAAAATCAATTCCCCGAAAGGCCTAAAAGTATGAACAATGTTTATTTTTGAGTAAATAAACTACATAGTCAACATGGAAAAAACTGTCAAAACCAAGATTAAAAGTATAAGCATGCAGTCTCTGTTAACAAAATGTAGTTGTGAAACTACTTTTCATTTTGTAAATGCCATTATTTCATTTCATAAAATGTAAAAATCCTCAGTATCATTCTTTACACTTTGCAGCAAACACTTCTTTCCTGTTTATTTTCCTATTTCCTACAAAATAAATCCACATCTCAAGTTCCTTATAGTTCATACTTCCATCTCAACATATTTGAGACCTTCATGTCCAGGCCTAGTTTCTCTTTCCTTTAAAATATTACATGCAGTTTGAGAACTAGCTATGAGGAAACAGTCACTACATACCAAAACACACAATTTAAGTTACCAATTTTGTGGGCTCTAAAGGAATGATTGTGTTGTGAAGAAAAAAAACAGTATCCACATATAAATCCTTTTTTTTTTTTTTTCAAATTTTCATCTGGCTTATTTGACAGTCATTTGGTAGTCAACCATGAAATCATTAAAGAATTGTTTTAAATTTAGAAAATATTTGCTAAGTGTTTTCCAGAAACAGTGTGACAAAACAAAATCCAGCTTCAAACAGTTCTCTTCCATTTCATCTTCAGCCCTTTTCATTTGCATCATTGAAACTGGTTATCAAGCAATTAAAAATCACAAAATGTCATCATTCCAAAATGTTAGTACTTCATTTAAAGACACTGCTCTCTAAAGTTTAAGCATGAGAACATAGTTTTCAAAGGATGCTCACCAGTGTCAGTAAATAACTGAATCCTTTTCAAAATGTGGAAATAGCCAGATCTCATTATTGT